GTGTAAATGTTTGCTCAATTTTGATTACAATGGTCTTGGTTCTTGTTCAAACAATTCGATAATTTCCACAAAAGGATGATCAAAATGTATAACTTTTGATCATCCTTTTGTGGAAATTATCGAATTGTTTGAAGTTTGATGTATATATCGACTTGTTGTTTATCAACTAACATTTGAATTAGACAGTCACGAGGGTGGTAAACAACTCTAACCACATTAATTACGACAGCTAATGCCGAGACTGATCTCGACTCTCAACTATAGACTGGAAACTCCCGCAACCAGGTCCCATTGTTACCTATTCTAGGGGTGAAATTCTGCTAACACAAAAACTCTTCGGTTTAGAATCTATGTGCGAATGAGTTGCGATTCATTAATTTCCACAGTTTTAAACGTTGAATTTGCCCTCCAAGCTTTTAGCAACCAAATATGAGTCACCTATTGTACAGCTAACTTTTTTTTTACCTGCTTGTTCTTTCTTTCCTTTGCAACTTGCTTAAAACTTGTATTTGCTATCATGTTTTGTGTATGTGATTTATATTTATCAAGCTTTATTATCAATCAATTCATCGTTCGAGATTATTGACTATTGATAAATAACTGATTAAAATGCAAATTCGAATTATACTATTACGCCATCACAGTGTTTTATTTTGCGTTCCTTCCTTACGATACTTCAGATCATAGCGTTGATTACAACAACTAACGTAAGGGGGCTCTGCCTTAGATGTTTGGTCACGTGCGACTTTTCGATTTGAAATTTAAGCGGGATCGGGTTTGCTTTTTGGAGGGAATAGCCATTCCGGGTGACCATTTTATTGTTAATATAGAGTTGTGCCACAGTGACGTAAAAGAAAAGCAGAATTTGACCCAAACTCGATAGATTTTTCCGGAAGGAGGGAATTGAGAGCAAGGTTGTTTATTTGTTGATGGTCCATGGATAATGGATATTGTTTTCTGATCTGTTTTCCTCCTCTTTGCAGCTTCTACAATTTATATTGCGCTCTTTCACTCAAGCGGAATCAAAAAATTACTTTTTTAACTTGGTGACTATCTCTATTCACAAGTTGCAAATAGAATTTCCGCGAACTACGTACTTACTTGATAGCAATAACTGCTTATTTATAAACTAGTTTTTTTTCCTCTGTTGTCAGTCTCAAGGTTTTAATTAACAGGCACGAAAAAGGTCCCCTTCCACAGTATACAATAACAATTTTCAAGGATCTATTATTAGTCCATCACGTCGTAAACAGCTAAAGATAATGACAGTAATTTTTAAACAGTACTCATTTGCAAAACAGTTAACACGCCACTAACCCGATAAGATATCTTGCTATCTTCGACGAAGTTGCAAGATTTTTTTTTTCGGGCCACGATCTACATTTCCACATCGAATCAGTAACCGATATCTCCATCTACATAAACATACAATTAAATATAATTTTCCCCAACGAAAAAACCGCGCTAATTGCGTAACCGACTGATAGAGTGCATCAGAAAAAAAAGGTACTAATCAATCCCCGATTTTCAGTCCGACGCAACTCGTTTCGAAGGTATGACCTTTTTTTGTGTGATGTGTGCGCCTTGTGTGGATGTGCGTTAATTACATGATTTAACTCGAACCGGTACATGGTAATTGCCCGAGATAGGCCTAGAAAAAATAACCTCGGCGATTTTTTTTAATCTTCCGCATTGGTAAATTATCGGCCTAGGCGTGTTAATTAGCTCGCTATAAGCGGAATTGACAGAATTTAAATGTAAAATTTGCAACCACAAAAAAGAGGAAATTAAGGTTTTTTTGCATCCCAAGTGGTCAGGTGTGCATTAGGTAACCCATTCGTTTATTTGTTGCTGCTGTAAGTAGTTTATATGTACGAAGCGACCCAGTGAAAGCGAAAGTAAAATTTCTTACGTGGTTTAATTTTTTTTAATTGTAATAGTTGGTGTGCTGATACTTAAAAGTGAGGAGCGGTTTTTGTGAGTTTCTTTATTATTTTTTTGCTTTAAACTACACGCTTGGACAGTCAGTCCACCAGTTATTGCTTAGGGTGTAGGTACACTGGAAATACCATTGAGCCCAATGCCGTAACAGTTGGGTGTAACGGGTACGAGCCTCTGGAAAACACTACACGTTTTTCAGTGGCGGATTTACCCTCAACTATAACAAGCACGTGTTTTGGGCCTATAATCTAAGAAATAAAACAAAAACTGTTAGTGCCTTAGTCTTGTCACGTGTCCTGAACAGTAGGTAGGTATACTTTTGTAGAACTAGGCGATGTTCAGAAGGATACAAAAGACTATTTCACTGAAAACTTAGGTTTTTCCGGATCTATTTATGCGCTTTCCACATGTCTTTCAAAGCATTTTAGGCTACTTTTCGAGATACATAACATATATACTACCAAAAACCTCAAATAAAAAGAATTTGGCCAAAATGTCCTTGGATCTTCTTCTTGAACGCATCCCAAAACCCTATATGTGGGGGGTGCGCCATGTATCAAATGTATACAATTACTTCTTCTTTGTCCTACCTCTGGTTAGTCTTCGTATATCTTAATTAAATCCAGGGTGTTTCTTAATATGTAATTATAGATTTCAGCTGTCAGTCAGTGATCTTCTTCTGACCTCTTAAGGAATAGGATAAAACGATAAATAATAATTCAATCTTTATCAAATTATCGGTTCTTATTTTCTTTGAGATATTTGTAGAGCTGATGGTCGCAAATCCTTAGCTCTCCAAGCGAATCTTAAATACCATACTTCATTATTTATTATCAGCCTGTTGTATTTAATTTCCGCTCTCACTCCTTTGTCTCTTGCCTTCTTCGTTTGCGATATTAACCTCCTTCTTTCCAGCAGCACATCCTTGAGATAATCCACGTTTATCCAGATATCCGTTTCTTTTAATTTATTTGTGCTCTGGAAGATCTTTGTTCTAACTCGCTCTTTATTCAACTTTACTAGTATTGGCCTTTTCTTTTGCTTCCCCTATCTGCTCCCTACTGCCGGTATCTATCCCTATTTTTTGCAGTAGAATCGTGACTTTTCCTCCTCCTCGTATCACTACACTTTTCTTTCTCACTTCTCTCTCTAACTGCTCTATTCTCACATCCTGCGTTTTTATAGTTTCTCTCAGCTTAACATTTTCCTCCTTCATTTGCTTTGACTCAACTAATACCGCGTCTAGTTTACTGCCTATTTGCCCTATCGCTCCCTCTAGACTCCAAAACATTTGCTCTATTTTCTCGGTTTTGCTCATGTTGACCGCTCTAAGGTAAGGTAGGTAAGGTAAGAATCTGTTGTTGCTTAATGAGGTTTCAAACCCTTTGAATTTTTTGTCGAAATTCTGACAGCGCCAATCGATAGCGCTGGTCGAGACCTTTCCAACGAGGGGTCGGTTAACGGTTTGTCAGAATTTTTGGTCGAAATTTTAAACCGTAATATCTCGAGAACGGTGCGTCGTAGATATGCCTTCCGACCCCTCGTTGGAAAGGTCTCGACCGGCGCTATCGACCTAGAATCCTCCATCATTTCAAACAGTTCCAAGATCGGGCTACTAGTTCAAAAGTTTTTGGCCCGAAAAAAAATTGTCTCAGATCGACCGGAAAAAAATATTTTCTTATAGAATGTGGCCTGTAGAATCCATAATTTCAAACAGTTCCAAGATCGCGCTACTAGGTCAAAAGTTACAGCCCTTTGAATTTTTTGTCGAAATTCTGACAGCGCCAATCGATAGTGCTGGTCGAGACCTTTCCAACGAGGGGTCGGAAGGTGTATCTGTGACGCACCGTTCTCGAAATATTACGGTAATATCTCGAGAACCTTTTCGATTACACATCTCAATTAAAAGTTATCGATTGGCGCTGTCAGAACTTTTGGTCGAAATTTCAAACCGGAATATCTCGAGAACGGCGCGTCGTAGATATGCCTTCCGACCCCTCGTTGGAAAGGTCTCGACCAGCGCTATCGATTGGCGCTGTCAGAATTTCGGCAAAAAATTCAAAAGGCGTAACGTTTTGATCTAGTACCGACCTTTGAACTGTTGTAAATTATGAATTCTACAGGCCACCATTCTATAAGAAATATTTTTTTCCGGTCGATCTGAGACAATTTTTTCGGGCAAAAAAAGCAGGTGTTCCTTTTTTACCTAAAGAATCGACTGCACGAAAATTTCTCGGGAAAAATTTTTCTTATATCTTGGTGCGTAGAAACCGTCATTTTTTTATAATAAATTTGTGCAGAAGCCACTTAACCAAAGCGATGTAAAATAACGCGTGTTGCCCGATTACGGAAAACGTTCTGTCAAATTGAAAACGCAAGCCGTTCGGAGGGATTTTGGTCCGGGGTTATTGCCCTGTACCGTCTTTCGTTAGATCCCTTTCCTACGCTCTTCCACATCGCTTTTTTTTATTAACGTGCCCCTTTTAATGCGTTCTTTTTTTACACCCCCTTCACGAACTTCTCTTCCTTTCCTTTCGCATTATTTTTATTATATGGGTCAAATTTGGTTGAGAATTCTTCCCATAATCATCATGCTCGCCTTACGCCCTCTTCGCCCGCTCTTTTAGCTCAATTCAACTCGTAACTTAGTGGTGGAGCTGTCTTCTTTCAATACCGCATGATGTATGCCTTGTAGTTCAATAGTAGAGCGGTGGGCTATAAAGCCAGAGGTCGGGTGTTCGAACCTTGGCGCGGTAAGAATTTTTCAGCTGTGGCAGAGATGGGGATTTCCTTAGACCAGTTTTTGCAAGATGCATTCCTCTCGTGGTTTCTTTAGCCCTGGACCCAATTATCATGTTAATTGGATCCGGAACGTTGTAGAACGGGTCGGCGAGGAGTCCCCCTTTCACTTACTTGGAGGCGAAGTCCCGGGATGGCCGGACTGGTAATGATGAAGTGAGCGGCTTCATAATCAGCAGCTGGCCTTTGATTCTGAAGTTTCTGGGAAATCTGGGTTTGATTTTGAGCTCGGGCGGTACTTCCGCCCGTCATCCTTACACCAGATACCTCCACCTCTTTTCTGCGTAGACCCAAGCGTTCAGCCGCCTCTTCGGTGACGAAGGACCTCTGGGATCCTTTGTCTAGCAGTGCTCTTAGACACTCCCATTCACCTTTTTGACGGCCCTGCACACTTGTGGATCTGGCGTGACAACCGCTCCCAGTGACTTTGCAATTCCAGTTGCTTTGTAATCGCCAGATTTTCTTCCGTTAGATTTCCTTCTCCTTCTGTGTCTGAAGGAGTAGCGCCGTTAATAGAAGCTCGTATGTTGTTGGCCACGGGAAAATCTGTAGCGCTTTTCATTCACTCTCACTGACTCGCTAAGTCACTAGGTAATGACTGACTCACTGACTATACTTACTGACTGTTCACTACTACTTTAAAGGATTCTTTCTAGATCTTCCGAAACTTACTACATATCTCTCTAGTCATTTTAAAACCTCTTAGCTCCGGACCATTAGACGTCGTGTTACCAAAAGAAATCGCCTAGGTTGTATTTCGAATACTCTGCAAAAGACCTCCAAAATTCTAGGAGCTGCTTTAGGGGTGGGCAAAAAACCTAAGCAGAGTAGAGGTCTGATGGGTTCGGGTTCGGCTCGCTCGGCAGCGGTATCAAAGCTATACCTTCCGCTCGTTTCGCAATAAAATAGACCTGTTATAAAATTCCCACGTTAAAGTAATAATTTGAAAAGCAGTGCCCGGCGAGCCGAAGGCGAGTTCGTCACAAACCTAGGCAGAGTAGAAGTCTGATGGGTCAAGTCAAACCTCTACTTTGTCTAGGTGTTAAAACTATCACTGTTGGCTGTTGCATGCTTTCGGCTCGTTCGGCAATAAAATATGCATTTCCCGCGTAAAAGAAAAACCCAGACATTGTAGAGGTCTGAAGGTTTAATCAAACCTCTACTCTGCCTAGGTTCGCGCCTGCACAATTTCATTAACCGACGATCGGTTTTTAGTACGATGACTTCTTCGGATGCAAACGAGTTGCCCTACGACGACAACGAAAACTTGGACTTCAACGGATACAAGCGAAACGGTTGCAAAACGGCAATAACCTACTTCCTTTACGCAATCACTTTGGGATTTCTAAGATTGTTCTTCCACTGGTTCCCCACCTGGCATCTGTACGCCACTCATTCCAAGTGCAGCTTGCGCGACGCCGATAAGGTGTTAATCACCGTAAGTTGCCCGCGTAATTTCGGGTCTTTCTCAAAATTGTTTTAGGACCTCTACCATTCCCTGTGCAAGATTTACTTCGTTGAAGAGGTCGAGTTCGTGACTTCGCCGGATAGGTAAGTTCTCGCCTTGTGGTGCGTTAGTTTGATCACTCCCTTGCAGAGGTCGCCCGTTGGTTGCCTACTTAGAGGATGGATCCGTGCACAGTAAGTTTGCCTTCGTACAAGTTTGCATAAACGTCTCTTCTCCGCAGAGAATCACCAGCTGCGGGTGGTACGGTGTAAGAAGCTGTGCTACGTTTGGAGTGGGACAGAGTCGAAATTCCTGAGGCTGGTAGGTTTGGATGTTGGGCAAAAGTGCGCGGATTATTACAGCTTTGCCGGTTACTCAGAGGACGAGAGGAACCTCAGGTGGATTACGACGACCGTTTGGCGACGAGGCTTGATGGGTTTGGTTTTCAGATTGGCAACGTACGGAGAAAACGATATTAACGTCCCATTGGATACAATTTTGAGCCTCTTCTTTCTGGAGGCGCTCACTCCGTTTTACTTCTTCCAGGTGTTTAGTTTAATTGTCTGGTTCCTGGATGAGTACTACTATTACGCCGTGGCTATCATCATAATGTCCGTGGTTGGAATTGCGACCTCCGTTTTGCAAACGAGAAAGGTGAGTCGGATTTCTTCCGCTTGGCTTCTCCAAGATGGCATTTTAGAATCAACAAAGCCTGAAAAATACGATCGCCTCCTGCGAAACGGTCTCAGTTCGCGCCAATGACGGAGCTTACCATCAGATACTTTCGCATCGGCTGGTTCCGGGTGACGTTATTGAGATACCATCGGGCGGATGCGTTATGCAATGTGACGCCGTTTTGGTAAACGGAAATTGCACAGTGAATGAAAGCATGCTTACAGGTGGACGACAGAATTGTCTAGCTCTAGCTTACCGTACCGAAAATTGCAGGGGAATCGATACCGGTCACCAAGACTCCAATTCCCAAAACGGGGGCGCTGTACAAAATCCAGGAGGACGCATTTCACACACTGTTTTCCGGCACGAAAGTGATACAAACGCGGGTACCTCCGGACCAGAAGGTGCTCGCCGTCGTGATACGCACCGGCTTCCTGACGAGCAAAGGGGAACTGGTGCGCGCCATACTCTTCCCGACACCAAGCGACTTTAAGTTCGACCAGGACAGCTACAAGGTTCTCATAGTGTTGGCCATTGTCGCGTTTATAGGGGCCATCTACACGGTCGTGTCAAAGGTAAAATTCCCCCACGCATCCACCGGCACTTTCTCTCCTCTGGACGATTTTTAGAGTACTAGATCAATTGAGGTCGGTTACATATTCCTTAAGGCACTCGATTTGATTACAGTCGTGATACCGCCCGCCCTACCTGCCACTATTACCATCGGGAAACTGTACGCGCTTCACCGCCTGAAGAAGAAGGAGATCTTTTGCATTAACTCCAAGGTGATTAATGTATCGGGAAGCGTCGACTGCATGTGCTTCGATAAGGTCAGTAGCAAGACGGTTTGCAAGCCTTTTGATTTCCATTTAGACAGGAACGTTAACCGAGGACGGTTTGGATATGTGGGGCGTGGTGGGTTGCGACGACCAGAAGTTGACCAAACCGCTTAGAGACGTAGACGCTTTGGCAAAGAGCTCCAAGTTGCTCCACGGAATGGCGACGTGCCACTCACTGACGATCATTGAGGACCGAATCATGGGTGATCCCTTGGATGAAAAGGTACAACGCGTTCTTTGAGTAAATTTTGAGTTACTCCTTGCAGATGTTCGAGTCAACCGGTTGGTGCTTGGAGGAAAACAGCACAACCCACACCGCCATGGTTAAGCACAACGTAAGCCCACGACTTAAAACCACTTTCACTAACTCACTGTTTAGGGAAACGAATTCGAAATCCTGCACAGATTTCCGTTCTCCTCCCGCTTGCAGCGCATGAGCGTAATATGCGCGAGTAGAAACTCCGACGCGCTTCAAGTCTTCTGCAAGGGCTCGCCGGAGATGATCTCGTCACTGTCCGTGGCCGGCTCCGTTCCGTGCGATCTTCGCGAGCAGCTTAAGACGTACACGAGGCACGGGTACCGAGTGATCGCGATGGGTTCACGAACGATTTCGAAAGATCGGGATATCGCCACCACCGAAAGGACCACCGTGGAATGTGACTTGTCGTTTGACGGCCTGATCATTTTCGAAAATCGAATCAAACCGGTAACGGCGGGCGTTATCAAGATGCTTAAAGATGCCCATATCAAGACCGTTATGATAACAGGTTTGTTTCGCTCTTCGAGCGCTTGTAGCCTAGCACGCGTTTCAGGTGACAACATGGAGACGGCTCTTAGTGTGGCAGTGGAGAGTGGAATAGTCGAGCGGGACGAAAACGTGGTTGTTGTAGATGTGGATCAGAGCGTTGATGGCGAGTTGCGTTTGCTGTATTCGGTCGAGGAGTCGTCTAAGTTAGACTCGTGCTTTAGTAACGATGTTATTCTGCCGATGTCCGCGCCTAATGTGCGTTACGCGATGTCCGGTGCCAGTTGGAAGCGAGTTCAAATGTATTTTCCTCAGTGCGTCGATGAACTTGTTCGGGAAGGGGTTGTGTTCGCCAGGATGTCCGGCCTGCAAAAGCAGCAAGTAATTCAGGAACTTAAAAAACAAGGATACTACACAGGTAAGGTTTCTGCGCACTCACACTGATCATTTACATATCGTGGTGCGCGTCATCACTGATGCAATCTCAAAAGTGATGTTTTTGTCACAAAATTTGGTTGTGTAAACGTAAAAACGCACTAGTGTCTAAAGATTGAATTTCGTAAATTTCCATCTAACCTTTTTACTTCTCCTTCATGAATGGCTCATACTCTACTCATGCCTATGTGTGCTTTGTTTGCAATACTTATCTTTTGCGTCTATTTTTCATGCTTTCTTTCCTTTTCATTCCTTATGCTTTTCTTTACGCGGAACTCTTTTAAGCCTCCTTTTTACTCACTTATTTGTTCTTCCTTTCCGCTTCTTTTTGAAACCTTGTTTATGCTTCTTATATCTTTCGCACCTTTTACCTTATCGTTCTTGTACGTTCGTTTCGTAATTTCCCTTTACTTTGCCCCTAATCTCTTCAGACACTCGGTTTTATCTTCTCTTCTTTGACGTCTGCTTCGAGTTCTTCTTTCTCGAAATTTGTTTAGGGTTTAGAAGGTTGTTAAAATCATAGGCAGAATAGATGTCAGACCTGTACTCTGCCTAGGCTTGTGCCGAACTCGCCTTTGGCTCGCTCAGCACTGCTTTTAACTTCGATTCGTACGACATTCAAATAGGCCTGTCATTAAACTTCTATGCAAAAGTGGTGTGTTTTAAAGTTTGGCACAAACCTAGGTGGCGTACATGTCTGATAGGGTAAATCAAACCTCTATTTTGCCTAGGTTTGTACCGAACTCGCCTTCGGTTCGCTCGGCACTGGTTTTAAAACTGGCATTAAAATAGGCATGTCTTTCAATTTCTATGCAAAAGTGCCGAGCGAGCCGAAGACGAGTTCGGCACAAACCTAGGCAGAGTACAAGTCTGATAGAGTAATTCAAACCTCTATTCGGCCTAGGTTTGGGCCGATCTCGGTTTCGGCTCGCTCGGCACTGGTTTTAAAACCTTTGCATGTCATTAAACTTATATGCAAAAGTGGTAGATTTAAACGCAATGCCGAGCGAGCTGAAGGCGAGTTCGGCACAAATCTAGGCAGCGTACAGGTCTGATAGGGTAATTCAAACATCTATTCTGCCTAGGCTTGTGCCGAACTCGCCTACGGTTCGCTCGGTACTGCTTTTAAAACTACCAATTTTGCATAGAAGTTTATTGACAGGTATATTTTAATGCCAAACGAGCTGAAGGTATCCAAAGTGATACTTTTAAAACCACTGCCGAGCGAGTCGAAGGCTACTTCGACACAAACCTAGGCAGAGTAGCGGTTTGACTTACCCTATCAGGTCTCTACTCCGCCTAGGTTGCTAAAAGACGGCGCCGTTTCCGAAAAAAACGGACCTTTACACAATCAGATCTCTACTCTGCCTAGGGTTGTACCGAACTCCACTTCGGCTCGTTTGGCACTACTTTTAAACCTATCACGTTTAGTGGAAGTTGAGTGACAACGCGCAGAAGAAATGCATAAGCGATGGTTTTAAAACCTAGACAGAGTGGAGGTTCGACTTACCCTATCAGACCTGTACTCTACCTAGGTTTGTCCCGAACTCGCCTTAGGCTCGCTCGGCACGTGCTTTATAAATAGACGGATTTGGTTGGTTCTAAAAAAAAACATTAAAGTGCCTTAGGGGATGCTTACGAATGGATCTAAAAGATTCTAGAATGTTTTGTCGCTCAGAGCAAACGAAAGCATTAAAAGCCTTCTGAGTCCTGCTAGGCCGTTTCTAGAGCTATGGTTCATTTACAGAAGGTCAAGGTACTTTCAAGGATTTTCAGGCACTCTGAAGAGCGCTTAACTGACTGGGACACTTTCGAATGCTCTACGCTTTAGGTCTTTAGTGCTTTCTAAAACAGTCTGGCGTTTCAAAATAACAATTACACTCATTCCTTCGCATTTTTTCCAGTTTAACCTCTTTCAAGTTCTCGAAACGCCGCTCCTCTTCGACTTTTATTTTATTTTTTTTCATTTTTTTTTTGTCTTTATTTTTGAGTGGGCGGGGTTTCAGCCAAGGCTGCTCTACCAACCCAACCCACTATACATTTACAAATATCCATGCCCGAACCCGGATTCGAACCAGGGACCCTAGCACCACAGTCCAGCTTTAACTGAACTGTGCCATACAGGCCGGCCCTTCGCGCCCTTACACGTGCTTTATGTTTTCCCGCTCCTTTTCGACTTTCGCGCACCTCCACTTTCTTGCTTCGTGTTTCTTCGGTCTCCACACACGGTTCTCCCGTGTGCCTGCCTCAAAATTCCTTCCTTTCTCCGCCATTTCTTTTTTTATGGCTTATTTCTTCATTCCTCTCGCGTTTTCTCCTTAGTTCTTCATTTACGTCGCATTCACACATCAGTGACTCTCTCTATTAGATTCTTTCCCTATTCTGAGCCACGCCTTCACCATCACCCATCCGAGTCATGCTTCTTTCAAGAAGTTGTGTGTCCTGCTGTCGCCTTCCTAATAGGCGGATCATTATCACCATTGCATACCGAGGGACGCACCATCACTGATGCAATCTCACACTGTTTGCTTTTAAAACGTACAACCGCTTAATTACAGGTATGTGCGGAGACGGAGCGAACGACTGTGGAGCACTGAAAACCTCTCACGTTGGAATATCGCTATCGAAAGAGGAGGCGAGCGTGGCATCTCCGTTTACAGCCAAGCAAAACGACATATCCTGCGTAGAGGAAGTGATCAGAGAGGGAAGAGCCGCCCTCGCGACCAGTATGGGCATCTTCAAATTCATGATATGCTACAGCATAACGCAATTCACCTCCGCAATTATACTTTACGGAATCGACGACAACCTGACCTCCCTGCAATTCTTATTCGTTGACATAGTGATCGTGCTCAACCTGATCTCCACGTTCGGCCGAACGAAACCGTCGAAAGGCGCCTTGAGTAAGGAACGCCTGGAGGGCGCCTTACTTAGTCTCACCTCCGTAAGCTCCATCATTTCGCAAATCCTATTTGTAATAATCTTCCAAGCGAGCGCCTACAATCTAATTCATACCTACTCCTGGTTCACGCCCTTCCACTTCGACCAAAACAATGTGCTCGCGTTGAGTAGCTACGAAAACTACGCCGTCTACGTAATGTCACTCTTCCAGTACATCATCATGATAATTGCGTTCTCGAAGGGCGAGCCGTACAGAAGAGCGATCTACACGAACAAGATATTATTCTGCGACGTTATACTGATGACAACAATTTGCTTATATATTCTCTTCTACCCCGCTAACTGGGTAAAGACAGTTTTGGACTTGAAGGTGCCCCCCGGCTACAACTTCAACCTTGTCGTCTTAGCCTTCGCCATCGCAAACTTTATCTGCGCGTTTATAGCAGAAGATTTGATCGTGGGGTACGTTCTGGCAAAGAAGGTATACCCGAAACTGTACCAGCTATTCAGAAGAAGGGCCAAGTGTTCAAACAAAGCAGCTAGCAATGATTACAAAGTTGAGAAGAGCAATGGGTTTATAAATAGGGCGTATAACACCTTCGACGGCGAAACATAGTCGTTCGAACTCACCTCGTGATTGATGAACTTCTATTATATTAGCCAGTTTGCACACAGGGTTATTTATTTTTTGATGTAAATAGATAGCAAATAGAATTTTGTACATAGCGTAGCTACCCTTTGAAATAAATTTTTTATCTACCGTCTTTGTTCTTTAAAAAGTATAAAGCGTATGTATGTAGTTGTCCCAGTGCAAGAAACGACACCTATCGGTTTAAAGAGGGAACTAGAGAAGCCGCAATGAGGAACATCGTGTAATTTTGCTGTCTTGACTACCTGCGCAGTGACCGCGTTGGAGTTCACTAAGGCAGTCGGAAGAGATATGACCGGATTTTTCGCACTTTAAGCACTACACGGTCCGGACATGGTCTTGTATATGGCAACGACGGCTAACCAAGATTTGCTTGCGTACGGCACCGTCGCACTCAAGCATCCGCGCGGGCCAAGCTAGACCATCACCTTCAAGGATTTGTCCGCCAAGTAGAGGACTTCCTCGGCAGCAAAATGTTCACTTTCGTGGACAAGTTTCGATTCGACCACTACCTCTGGTTTCAGTACGTGGCATTTCGGATCTTTTAGAAACTGTACCTTTGGAGGTTGATATCGGTTTCTTAAGGCTGAGGGTCTCGACATCAAAGGAAAGTTTAGAGGACGTCGCTTAAAGGGGGCCCTCCATGGGAATAGGGTGACTCGATGCCACTCTGCTGCTAAACACTACTGAGGTACACCAACATAAGGGTTCCATACACAGGAAACTTACTACTGCTAGGTAGACTGCTTATGCTTCATTGCCCGCCATTCACCATGGGGAGGTAGGGGGCTATAGTTCCGTGAGGGTTTGTGCCCTTAGAACAACTTCCAATGCACTGAAAACTACTGAACAATAACAAAAATTCTAAATCGAAAATCGAAAGATTTATTCGCACTTCAAGAGGTGGTGAGAGGAGCTATGAAGGAAGGAAACTAGAACGAATCCTGAAGGAACGGGAACTGGGCCGAATGATTAGAGCTAGGATGTCTGAGTGGGGCGTCAAGAAAATGTAAAAACGGCGTGGAGATTTGTGCCAAAGTAAAAGAAAAAAGGAGAAGTATGCTCAAATATGGAGGTGCAAAGATAAATTATAAGGTAGGCTTAAAGTGGACGTGAAGAAAAAGTTACAGAACAAAAAGGATTTGAAGGAAATGTGAAGAGTAGGCTTCTGATACTCGTCCCTCGCAGTGTTTCACTACCTCTTCACGCTTTTCTCACGTCTTCTTCTTCACGTCACGTCCTTCATGACCACTGCAGGTTTCGTTTATGTTTCTTTCACGTTTTTCTTGTGAATTCTTATCGTCTATTTCTAGTGCCTGTGTGTAGTGTTTCCTTCTTGCCTTTAAATCACCTTATAAGCGCTTTCTTTACACGTCAGTTGCACTTTCTTCACGCTTCCTTCGCATAAATGTCTCTTTTCACGCCTTTGTCACGCCCCCTTTCACCATTATCACGTTTCATGTGTATATTTTCCATTTGTTTCCCTTCTTATGTTTTCTTTACGCGTTCTTCACATCTTCTTCATACTTCCTAGGTATTTTCTTCACGCTCTGACGTCCTTTTCCACTTGCTTCACACCTTTATTCCGCTTACTACGCTTTTTTCCACTTACTTCATTCTCGTTTCCCGTGTTTTCTTCCTCCTTTACGCCATCTTCATGTCTATTCGGCTTTTTAGCGCATTTCCACAAAAATTAAAAAAAAATGCGCTATTGTGGCCACTTTGTCCGTCCGTCCGTCCGTCCGTCCGCTCGTTTTGCGACGCTACTAGTTCTTTATCTTAAGAGCCATTGTTCTACTTTTTTCGCTATTTGGTTCGTTATGGTGTCGAGTCTTGTTACATGTACCAAGGAAGGAATTTTTTCTGTACCGCTTACAAAAAAAGTTATTGTAAAAAAAACAAAAAACCGTTTTTTACATGTTCCATACTTTTACACTTTTGCCGTTTATTAACGATCCTAGAGATCGTTTATAATTTTGCATTGCTATCTGTCGCCTGCCGATTGGTCTCTCCGTCTGTTCCTTTGTCTGTCTGTCCATCTATCTGTCGGTGTGAACGATAACTTTGTTTAGAAATGTTCGATCGCTTTTACATCTCCGTTAGTTATGAACTGAATTGCATGAAATTCAATATGGGCATAGCTTTAGCCATATAATACGCAATGCCCAAAGTTGAATCGAATCGATTCAAAATTCACAGTGCCCTTTTCGCATCTCGACCATTTATAAACCGAATTGCAAACTTTTTTACTTATAACAGTATTTGAATGAAATTTGATACATAGGCACTTGGGATAAAGGAAAATCAAACGCCAATTTCAAAATTTGTTTTTGCGCATGCGCAGTGCCAACTTTTTTATTTATGGAAGAATTTAAACGAAATTTGATACATAAGCACTTCGAATAAAGGAAAATCAAACGCCAATTTCAAATTTGGTTTTGCGCATGCGCAGTGCCAACTTTTTTATTTATGGAAGAATTTAAACGAAATTTGATACATAGGCACTTGGGATAAAGGAAAATCAAACGCCAGTTTCAAAATTTGGCTTTGCGCATGCGCAGTGCCAACTTTTTTATCTATGGAACCATTTAAGTGAAATTTGATACTTAGGCGCTTGGAACAAACGAAAATCTAACATTAGTGTTAAAATTTAGGTTTGCACATGCGCAGTTCCAACTTTCTTATTTAGAAAAGCATTGAAATGAAATTCTTCTCATAAACTGGAATTGAAGTAGCACGTCAAAAATGGATTGCCCATGTGCAACGCTATCTTTCATATTTGTGGCCGGATTTTTACGATTTTAATAGAAGTTGCATCTTACAAATGGGAAATGAATGCAAGTGGAAATGCGCTTTATGTAAATCGTTTACGATTACTTTTTAACTTGTTCACATATTCGACACGTTTGTTTGGCATCTCCCTCACACTTGGGCGTCTTTTACGATTCATTTACGCCCGCTGCACGCCTAATTCACTCTTCACTCACTGTATTCCGCTTTCCCCTTTTAGCGTTCTTCACATCCATTACTTGTACCTATATCATCTTTCCTTCCCTGTGGCAGCACTCTCCGCTTTAGGTCTCATTCGTACCCTCTTCACGCCTCTTTCACTTTTCTTTTGCAACATCTCCACGCCTCTTTCGCGCATTCTTACTCTTGCAGAGTACGCTGCTTTCGTATTTACCTCTCTGCTACAGTTACTCTTTACCTCTTTTTTCGTGCCTTCTTTGCACATTCTTCCTCTCCTGCCTCCTGTCTCCTGCCTGCTTCACACTTCTCTCACGTGTGTCTCTCTTTCCAGATGGCGAACCTTATCGACAAGGAGTGGACGAAGCCCCGAGGAATAGCTACCCCGGTCCACCGTTTAGGGGATGTGTCGCTAGCGGGTGGGGGTGTCGCCAGTCATGCTCATCATGTCCCCCTATGGGCCTCGGCCCGGTTTCATGACAGGGTTCCCCCAATACGTGCAGCCACCGACCATCCGCCGTAAATTAGAGAGCAGCCTCCATTATTCGATGCGGCGCCGTTGGAGCCGATTGGCGAGGAGTAACTATGACTCTCTCAATGTCACATTCCATACGCTGCTTTGTTTGCAAATATTTCAATTAAAAAACAAATTCTCTTAAAAATTTATTTAACGTACCATAATTGGGCAATTTGCATTTTTTGTTTGTGCAACAAATTTCAAAGGCGAATCTAACTTCGACTTTAATTAAATGACGCAATTCCATCGGGTACCTTTACGGCCTCAAGACCTGAGATGCAGGTAAATTTCCCGTTAGCAGTCACCCTTCATTTACAAGTGCTTGATTTGTTTAGCCCAGTGCCGAAATATTCGTCAAAGAGCCCGAGGAGAAAAGCATAGGGTTTCCAGGGCGCTTAGTAGAAAATCTGCAAGATGCCATAAACGAAATGCTTAAGCGTAATGAAGGGACGCTCAAGACCTGCAGGTACGTCATCTTGAACGTCGCACTTGTGAGCTACTTTGCCTTGGCGACCTACTACTTTATTGAATTCTCCAGTAAGTGCTCTTGGTTAGGAAAACTGTAAGCTAGACGGATTGTTCCAGATGATACCCTGGAGAGCACGACGTGCACAGGTTACGGTTTTCTGATGATCATCTTCATCCTCGTTTACTTTGGTGTCGCATACTCTTTGATTATAAAGCCGATCATCAATCGAATAGACACAGGAAGGATTTCAAATTTGCTCTCAAATCGGTGAGTATTTTCGCGACTTTCAAGCACCATCATCTTTTGGGATCCAGAGCCGTAACAATTGCCACCCCCCTGGCCATTGCCGTAGCAATCGGCGTGTATCTGGCCATCGATACCAGTGATAACCGACAACGGCTGGTTCCGCTACTTGGACTCTTCGTCTTCTTGCTGTTCGGTTTTCTGTTCAGTAAACACCCAAGACAGGTAAGTGGAAAACTTGGTGCTTTTCTGACGCAATGGCTATAGATCAAGTGGAGGCCAGTTGTCTGGGGTCTGATCTTACAATTCGTTTTGGGTCTGCTCACCATCAGATGGGATGTCGGCAGGGGCATCTTCGAGTGTTTGGGCAATAAAACAGCCACGTTTATGGGGTACGCTGCTCCTGGTTCCGCGTTCGTCTACGGGGATTTTTTGATTTATCAAGAGGCCGTGTTTTTCTTTCGTGTTGGTGATTGTGTTCTTAATCCCATTGCTCAGTTTATACATTTCAGGCGCTGTCCACGGTATTCTTTTTAGCTTATCTGATTAACGTCTTGTACCACTACGGGATCATGCAAAAGATCGTCGGTAGTTTGGGCGAACTTTTACAGGCGGTTATGGGTACCACGATCTGCGAGAGCGTTATCAGCGTGGCAAACATTTTCTTGAGCATGGTGAGTTCACCCCAAGCTTAGAGAGTATGGTTAACGACCGGTTTTGAACAGATTGACTCACCTCTGATCCTGAAACCGTATCTCGAAGAACTGACCGTTTCGGAAATTCACGCGATGATGACGAGCGGATTTGCTTCAATCGCAGGCACCCTACTCGCAGCTTACATGTCCGCCGGAGCAGAAGCCTCCCACTTAATTACTGCGAGCGTGATATCCGCCCCTGCTGCGCTATGCTACAGCAAACTCGTCTACCCCGAAACCGAAGAGGTCACTGCAACGAAAGAGACCATCCAGCTACTCAAGACGTAAGTGTACCCTTTGTGAACGTGGTAATCCGTTGTTGCTTTCAGAGAGTACACTTCACCTTTTGACGCTGCATGCAACGGAACGGCGACGGCAGTCGAGCTAGTCTTACGAACCGCGGCGAACCTCATCGCGTTTATTTCCGCAATCCAGTTGACAAACGGCCTCCTTTCCTGGATGGGCATTTTGCTTGGTGAGTTACTCTTCTGGCACCTCCTCGAATAAAACCGATCCTTAGGGTTCCATGGCGATAATGCTTGGACGCTCGAAACCACCGCCAGTTACGTATTCATGCCGGTTATGTTTATCCTCGGCGTACCTTGGGATGAATGCCAATCGGTCGCCAGGATGATCGGAATTAAAACCATGGCCAACGAGTTTTTGGCCTTTAGAGAAATGGGCCGGGTGACTTTGAGGGTGAAGTCAATTTGGCCGCTTCCGTTGTACTAATTGTATCTTGCAGAAGCGCACCAAAGTGATAGCCACTTACGCCATCTGTGGGTTTTCCAATCCTGGAGCAATTGGAGTTACCATTTCCACGCTTTCCTTGCTGATGCCTAAGAAGAAGAGCGCCATAACATCGACGGTTTTTAGAGCTGTCGTTGCCGGAGAAATATCTTCTTTTATGACCGCGTGTATAGCGGCGTTATTGATACCGGACCATTTACTTTGAGGGTTGTAGTTTGATGTCGTTACTAAAATAGTCTAACTCAATTATTCCGTCATCAGATTCCTCTGAACTGACTGCTGGTAGTGTCTATCCTTTGTCCAAGTTGGTAGAAATATAAGATATGGGATAATTATGAGTTTCAATTAACGATCTAAAAAGGGTCTAACAAACTCTGCAGGCTAGCGGAACTACCTGGGAAAGGCTCCATAAAGATCATGGAAAGCCTTTGATTTGCTTTATCCAAAATCTTCCATTTTTCTGGAGTAGTATGCAGAGATTTTTAGGGACTTTCAAAAGCTCTGGAAAAAACCTAACGCTTTGGAACAGACTTGGGAACACCGGGGAGAGAGCCCGGCTTTTTTTAAACTGGCTAGGATTACACTTTATTCCAACTTTGGAAAGGTCGTTAAGTACTTTGCATAGATTCCTAGGCCATTTTTAAAATTCTTCTCTCTCTTTCTAGATATTCCTCAAATGGAGCTAAGGGGGCGCAAAAAACTCTGAAGATGGAATAAAGATCTCTGGAAAAGATTCCAGATGCTCCGCCCCTGAGCTTCTCTCTTTTTTTGCAACTGATTTAGGTGCGCTTCCTCTCTTCTACACTTTTTTTGTGCCTCCCTTTCATTCCTTCATTCGCGCTTTCTTACAATTTTTAGTATTTTTTCGGACATCCTTTTCTCCCGCTTTGTGTTTCTATATATGCATTCCTCTTCTTACCTAGTTTACTCCTTCGCGACGTGTCTTTTGCACCTTGCACCTTTTTCGATCTTGATCTGCATTTTTTGCTTCTTAGGCATCCATTTAGCCATCATTCTACGCCTTCTTTGCGGTTGCCGGTTCTGTTACACCTCCTTCGCGTCGGATTCACTCCTCCTTTACTATTTCGGCAGGTTTCGTTTGTTTCCTTCATCTGCATCACGTTTCCTTTTTTCTTTTCACTCGTTCTGTCGTCCTCTGCCTCATTTGCGTCTTTTTCACTCTTCCGTCACGCCCGTGTCAGAGTTCTTAACCTACGTCTGCTTCGCGGCTTTGTCACATCTCATTTACAACTGGCTACGTGTCCAGGTCGAGTAGATTTCTCAGTGGAAAGGTTTCTAGAACCTTTTACGACTCCGTTCTCTTTCCTTTTCTAATCACCCCTTGTCCTTGTCGCATTCTTGCTTCCTTCTTCACGCTCTTCATTAGCACGCCTTGACCACGTCTTGATTTTAGCTTTTCAGGTTTAATTTGCGGTTTCTTGACATTTGTTTCTTGTTACCTTCACCCTTTTCAGCCTCCTTGGCATCTACTATACATACATTTTTTTCACGCCTTTTTCACACCCGTTTCAGTCTTCCTTGCCCTTTTCACGTGTGCCCTGCCCATCGCGTCTTATACACATCGTTTTCCACTGACTTTTCGTGTATTCTTCATGACTATGCTACATGCAGCTTCTGCCCTTAGCACTCCTTCTTCTCTTGATCTTTACACGTTTCTCTCGTTCCCTTTTCATTATTTCCGCATGTATCGCATTTTTGGCACCTTCTTCACTTCTGCTTCGCGCCTTGATGCCCCCTTCCTTCTTCTACTGTTTTTTGCCTCATTCACGTCTGATTCGCTCGTTTTTCTTATAGAATGTGGCCTGTAGAATCCATAATTTCAAACAGTTCCAAGATTGGGCTACTAGTTCAAAAGTTACAGCCCTTTGAATTTTCTTTCGAAATTGGTTTCTAAGTCTATAACTTTTGATTGAGAAGTCTGATCGAAAAAGTACGAATTGTTTTGGATTCTACGCACCAAAATTAATAAGAAAAAGTGTTTTCCCGAGAAATTTTGGTGTAGTCAATTTTTGGTAAAAAAGGAAGGTTATACACTGCCTTTTTTTGAGCCCCGAAAAAAAAATTGTCTCAGATCGACCCGGAAAAAAATTTTCTTATGGAATGTGGCCTGTAGAATCCATATTTTCAAACAGTTCCAAGATTGGGCTACTAGTTCAAAAGTTACAGCCCTTTGAATTTTTTTTCGAAATTGGTTTCTAGTCTATAACTTTTGATTGAGAAGGCTGATCGAAAAAGTACGAATTGATTTGGATTCTACGCACCCAAATTAATAAGAAAAAGTGTTTTCCCGAGAAATTTTGGTGTAGTCGATTTTTGGTAAAAAAAAGGAAGGTTAATCATTGCCTTTTTTTGAGCCTCGAAAAACAAATTGTCTCAGATCGATCCGGAAAAAAATTCTTACAGAATGGTGGCCTGTAGAATCCATAATTTCAAACAGTTCCAAGATTGGGCTACTAGTTCAAAAGTTACAGCCCTTTGAATTTTTTTTCGAAATTGGTTTCTACTCTATAACTTTTGATTGAGAAGTCTGATCGAAAAAGTACGAATTGATTTGGATTCTACGCACCCAAATTCATAAGAAAAAGTGTTTTCCCGAGAAATTTTGGTGTAGTCGATTTTTGGTAAAAAAGGAAGGTTATACACTGCCTTTTTTGAGCCTTCTTCGCATCTGCCTTCGCGTATTCTTCATTACGCGCCCTTCCCTCTTGTACCTCTTACTCTTCTATTTAACATTCCATTTCCTCTTCACCGCATCTTTTACGGATTCTTTAACCTTCTCTATGGCTCCTTCACACTTCCTTTACGTCTTTTCTACACCTTTCCCACACTTTCTTGTCCTATACCTCCTTCTCCTTTTTACACCTTCTTGGCGCCTGGTTTACACCTCTGCAGTTTAGCGTATCTATCCGCCCGTAAATCCGTCAGTCGAGACCCTCTTCTGTCGTGTTGGAATTTCCTGGAATTTTTGCAATAGTGGTATCCTATACCTTGAAGGTATGCCATCGGAATGAATTGCTATCTACAAGCTATAACTCACCTGCGCGACCTCTTTTCGAGATCAGTGGGAGGAGAGGATTTGAGGGGGGGGGGTCTCTATTCTAATTAAAGGCTTCAAGAAAAGGAACTGTTTTCTATCAACTACCGCCCTTCTTTCTTGTCTATTTTCAAAACAGAGGGAGGGCTGGGGGGAAGCTTCATGCTACTCTAATGAAAGGTCTCAACGAAAGGAATTAATTCTTACCAACCATAGTCCTCCGCTACCCACTATCGTAATCGGATACCATTGTTTATATCCCGCTTTTCGAGCATCTCCTCCTCCTGCTTCACTGTTTCTATATATGCGTTTTTCTTCTCGTCTATTTCTGCATGACACCTCCTCCTGATTTGTGTGTTTTTTTTAATTTACACCCTCTTCTGCTAGGTCCCCTTCACGCCTTCTTCGCCTTTTTTTCATGCTTCCGTGGGTCCTTTCTTCTGTGTTTTCCGCGTCTTCTTCCTCCTTATACCCTCTATCACTCACGTCCCATTCATACCCTTCTGGTGTTCTGTTGATGCTCGTTTCGCTCTTTTCTAATGCCCGCCTTCTTTCCCGTCTCCTTTCATTTCTTTGCGCCTGCCTTACACCTTTATCGCGCATTCTTCATAGTCTCTTCGTGGCATCCGCTTTCTTTCCGACTGCATTACGTCTTCTTCTCGCTTTTCCGCTCCCCAGGACTTTTTCTTGTCTTTTCCACAGATATTCATGTCTGTTTGGCTTCTCCTTCCTTCTTTTACTATTTACTTATTCATTCGCGCTTTCTTTTCGCCTGATTCACTTCTCCTTCACCATCAATGCATGTTTCCTTATATCTGCAATTTTTCCTTCTTTCTCTTAAGCACCCTTTGCGCGTGTTTTACGTGACGTTCCTGCCTTTTTCCGCCTCGTCCACAAACCATACGACACATCCGCTTTCGTTTTTTATCGTCGATGACTCTTTTATGGCGCCTCGATGTCTATCGAAATTTCTAGAATATTCGCTACAGCGCTTTCGGAGTTTCAAATTTGGGTAAAATGGAACCATTTTGGGTACGTGGGGGCCCCACTGTCCTTTTTTGCCAGAGATCATTATCAATTTTCTTGCTAGCGAAATCGTGTTTTGGTCAACAAAGTTACCTAATCGTCTAAAAGTATGAGCTGATTTCTTTGCCAAGACTTCAATTAAAATACAAATTCTCTTAATTAAAATTATTCAACTTGGGATAATTAACAAATTTGCATTTTGTTTGTACAACAAATTTGAAAGGCAAACTTAGAATCGAATACTACACGTCCTCAAGACGTGAGATGCAGGTAAATTTGATGAAATTTTTTATATTTTAAGTGTAACGTAAATTTTTATATTTTTAAACAATTTTATTTACAATGTAATTAATACAAATTAATTTGGCGAACAAAAAAATAAAAAATCGGTTGCTGCAGTCACCCTCATTTACAAGTGCTTGATTGGTTAGGGCGACAATGTGGAAGAATTCCCCAAAAAATCCGAAGAGAAAAGCAGAAGGTTTCCGGGGGGTTTGCCTCGGCTTCTGCAAAATGTGCAAGATGCCACGAGTGAAATGCTTAGGCGTAATAAAAAGACGTTGAAGGCTTGCACGTACGTCATCTTGAATGTCGCACTCGTGGGCTACTTTGCCTGGGCGACCTACTACTTCGTTGAATTCTCAAGTAAGTGCCTCTGGTTGGGAAAGCTGAAAGCTAGTCGGACGGACTGTTTCAGATGATACTCTGGCGAGCACGACCTGCACAGGTTACGGTTTTCTTATGATCATCTTCGTCCTCGTTTACTTTGGTGTCGCATACTCTCTGATTATAAAACCGGTCATCAAGCGAATAGACACCGGAAGGATTTCAAATTTCTTCTCAAATCGGTGAGTATTTTCATCACTTTCAAACACCAACGCCTTTTGGGATTCAGAACCGCAAGGATAACCACCCACGTGGCTATTGCCGTAGCCATCGGAGTATATCTGGCCATCGATACCAGTGATAACCGCCAAAGGTTAGTGCCACTATCTGGACTCTTCGTCTTCCTGCTGTTCGGTTTTCTGTTCAGTAAACACCCAGAACACGTAAGTGGCAAACTTGGTGCTTGTCTGACTCAGTGACGTAGATCAAGTGGAGGCCAGTCGTCTGGGGTCTGATCATACAGTTTGTTTTGGGTCTGCTCACCATCAGATGGGATGTTGGCAGAAATATCTTCGACTGTTTGGGAAATAAAACAATAAAGTTTTTGGGGTACGCTGCTCCTGGTTCTGCGTTCGTCTACGGAGATTTTTTGATTTATGAAGAGGCGGTGTTTGTCTTCCGTGTTGGTGATTGTGATTTTAACCCCATTACTCAGTTTGCACGTTTCAGGCACTGTCCACGATATTCTTTCTTGGTTTTATGATTAACATTTTGTACCACTACGGGATCATGCAGAAGATCGTGGTCAGTTTGGGCGAACTTCTGCAAGCGGTTATGGGTACCACGATCTGCGAGAGCGTTAACAGCGTGGCAAATATTTTCTTGGGCATGGTAAGTTCGCCCCAAGCTTGAGTACAGCTAACAACCGATTTTGTACAGAATGACTCACCCTTGCTCCTGAAACCGTACCTCGAAGAGCTGACCGTTTCGGAAATTCACGCCGTGATGACAAGCGGATTTGCTTCAGTGGCAGGCAGCCTCCTCGCAGGTTACATATCCTTCGGGGCAGAAGCCTCACATTTAATCACTGCGAGCGTGATGTCCGCCCCTGCTGCGCTGTGCTACAGCAAGCTCATCTACCCCGAAACCGAAGAGGTCACGGCGACGAAAGAGACCATCCAGCTACTCAAGTCGTAAGTTTACCCTTCGTGGGCATGGTAACCGTTGTTCCTTTCAGAGAATACGCCTCGGCTTTGGACGCTGCGTGCAATGGGGCGGCGATTGCAATCGAGATAGTCTTACGAGTGGCCGCGATCCTCATCGCGTTTATTTCCGCAATCCACTTCCTAAACGGCGTCCTCTCTTGGATGGGCATTTTGATTGGTGGGTTACTCTTCTGATACCTACCCGATTATAACCGCATCTTTAGGGTTCGACGGTGGTAGCACTTGGACGCTCGAAACCGCTGTCGGGTACGTATTCATGCCAGTTAGCTTTATCATGGGCGTACCTTGGGACGAATGCCAATTGGTCGGCAGGTTGATCGGGATTAAAACGATGGTCAACGAGTTTTCGGCTTTTAAAGAGATGGGCCAGATGATTTTGAGGGTAAAGTGAGGTGTAGTGCTTCCGTTGTGATAATGTTTCGCACCTTGCAGAAGCGCACCAAGATGATAGCCACTTACGCCATCTGTGGATTTTCTAATCCGGGATCGATTGGGATCACAATTTCCGCACTTTCCGTGTTGATTCCTAAGAAGAGGAGTACCATAACGTCGACAGTGTTTAGCGCCTTCGTTGCCGGAGAAATAACTTGCTTTATGTCCGCGTGTATCGCGGCATTATTGATACCTGATCATTTACTTTGAGGGTTATAGTTTGATCTCATTATGTAGTACTTTACTAAAATACTCTTGACTCGATTATTTCGTCGTCAGATTCTTCTGAACTGTCTATCCTCTCTAATGGTTGTCCAAGTTAATGGGAATAACATATATGGGATAACTTTCAGTTTCAGCTGAAATGCCGCGCTCGACTTCCATCGGTTCGCCTTGTAGGTTCAGCGAAGAATCTCTCTCTCCCACCCAATTTTTCCTAATGTAGCCGCCGAGTCAATAAACCGACACGGACTCAACGCAAACCAAGCGTAGGCCATTTCCATCTCTCATGCTACGTAAGAACGATCTTCAGAACCGGCAACACTGTGGCGGTTTGACTCTTGTCTGCTTGCACACTCGCTTCTTATCTGAGACCGCTTCATTATATCGCATTTTAATTCCGTTCTCTTTCACTATGTATAGCGGTAAATTCAAAACTTTTTCTAAGCCTAAGGCGACCACGTGTTACAGTGCTTTCCAAAATATTTTCTTGGAAATTTTTAGGGATTTTCAAGAGCTCTATAACGCAAAACTCTAAACACCGGGGAGGGAGCTAAAGCGTTATGTGCCGTTTTATTTCAATGTGGTGGTCATACATTAATCATAATACGAGGCATAAAGACAACATTCGAACGCAATACTGCAGACTAACCAAATCGCAAAACCACCATTCGTATCAGGCACAAAAATTTTTTAATATGCTCCCAAGGCATATTCAAAATCTTGACAAAGTGCAAATCAAAAAAATTCTTAAAAGACACCTTATTAATAAAGCATATTATTCCACCACTGAATGTATTCACGATGGGTTTAGTAATCTCTAATTGTTAGTGATTTGTTTATTTATTTATTTGCTTGTTGTTAGTTGATATACGTTGTTTGTAATCTCTACTATATATTTTTAGACGAATGTAAGCGCTTTTGCGTAGTAGCATGTAAAATAAATATTATTATTATGGTCGGTGTTTCTTGTGAGAACTCAGGTCTAGCCTGGTTAACTAATCGCACGGATTAAAATCAAGTAACGATTAGTGTCTGTGTCTGTGTCGAAGTTATGTAGGGTCCTAATAAAAAAATAAAAAAATTCACACACGCACATTGGAAATCTAGGAATAGTATGTAATTCATACTTACCAACATAGCTATTGATGGGCACAATAGCCAACGCTATCAGGAAAGAGGAAAACAAAACAAAACAAAAAAATCATTATAATAATTCCTGTAATTTTATTAAATGGAGTTCATTGTGTAAGTGTTTCTTTGGCTTTGCGTTTGGGTTGAATACGAGTGGGTTGTGATAACGTGGTGTGTTTCTGTGAAGAAGGAGTTTTGTGTTTTTTAATTGTATTTATGGTGTTTCTTTGTTCCTGAGGTCGTATTTGTGAGGTTGCTTGGGTTTTTGGTGGAGATATTGCAGTATTTTGTGAGCCTGTGGTGCTGTTAAGGTTTTTGCGTTTCGGTTGTATACGAGTGGGTTGTTTCTGAGAAGAAGGAGTATTGTGTTTTTTAACTGTGCTAGGGCGTGTAACTTTATTGGATGGACCTGTCTTTGTAGTACATGTTGCGTTACTTGTGTTTATGGTGTTTCTTTGTTCTTGAGGTTGTATTTGTGAGGTTGCTTGGGTTATTGATGGAGATATTACAGTATTTTGTGAGCTAGTAGTGCTGTATAGGTTTTTGCGTTTGGGTTGAATACGAGTGGGTTGTGATAACGTGGTGTGCTTCGGTGAAGAAGGAGTTATGTGTTTTTTAATTGTGCTAGGGCGTGTAACTTTATTGGGTGGACCTGTCTTTGTAGTGCATGTTGCGTTACTTGTATTTATGATGTTTCTTTGTTCTTGAGGTTGTATTTGTGAAGTTGCTTGGGTTTTTGGTGGAGATATTTTAGTATGTTGTGAGCCTGTAGTTCTGTTAAGGTTTTTGCGTTTCGGTTGAATACGAGTGGGTTGTGAAAATGTGGTGCGTTTCTGTGAAGAAGGAGTTTTGTGTTTTTTAAATGTGCTAGGGCGTGTAACTTTATTGGATGGACCTGTCTTTGTAGTGCATGTTGCGTTACTTGTATTTATGGTGTTTCTTTGTTCTTGAAGTTGTATTTCTGTTGTTGCATGGGTTACTGGTGGAGACATTACAGTATTTTGTGAGCCTGTAGTGCTGTTAAGGTTGTTGCGTTTGGGTTGAGTACGAGTGGGTTGTGTTTGTGATAACGTGGTGAGTTTCTGAGAAGAAAGAGTATTGTGTTTTTTAGCTGTGCTAGGCCGTGTGGGTGAGGGCGTCTTTGTAGTGCGTGTTGCGTTACTTTTATTTATTGCGTTTGTTTGTTCAGGAAGTTGTGTTTGTGTGGTTGGTTGAGTTAAGTTTGGAAATATTACAGTATGTTGTGAGTCTAAAGTGCTGTTTAGGCTTTTGCGTTTGGGTTGAATACTAATGGGTGGTGATAATGTGGTTTGCTTCAGAGGTGAATCTCTGATTGTAGTATATGTTGTATCATTTGTTGTACTTGTTTGTTCGGTAAGTTGTATTTGTGTGTTTGTTTGGGTTAGAGGTGGAGATATTACAGTATGTTGTGTACCGTGTTGTGAGCGAGTACTGTTGTTTACATGTATACGTTGTGGATCATTTCTGTATGTAGTATCTTGTGTTATGTTTAGAAATTTACGAACAATATGGCATGTGTTGATAATGACTGCTTTTTGTAAATGTTTGTATGTGTTTTTGTCTAAACCTAATAGTTGTAAATTGTGGTGTATTGTCTTTGGTATAACTCCGGTAGCACTAAGAATAATGGGAACTATAACAGTAGATTTCATTCTCCATTGCGTCTTAAGCTCGATAGCTATATCGGTGTATTTGCGGTGTTTTTCTGCATGTGTTTTAGTTAAGTTGTTAGTGTTGGGATGGCAATGTCTATAATACAAATGGATTTTTGTGTTTTATCTATAAGTGTAATGTCTGGTCTATTATTGTGGATAGTTTTGTCTGTGAGTAGTGTCCTGTCCCAATATAATTTGTGTGTGTTGTTTTCGAGTATGATCTGTGGCGTGTATTTGTAGTATGGTGTCGTATCTGTTATGAGATTGTGTTTAAGTGCTAATTTTTGATGTATGATTTTAGCTACCTGATCGTTGTCGATGTTTGTATTCAGGTTTGTGCAAGTCGTGTGCATGCCGATATTATATTTATTATTATTATTATTATTATTATTATTATTATAAAAACCAAAGTGAGTGTTTTTCGTGTCTCTCTACTATATTGAGTGCAAGATAAAACTGTCTGGCATTACTCTGCTTTTGGTCTGTTTGCAAGGCTCTGGGTGCTAGTAGGACTCATAAATTCCATACTTATTGACCGCATCGAGGAGTCCCGGAGCGATAGGATGATGCGCGTAGCAATTTGGAATTGGTGTAGCTCTGAAATTTGCCGATTTCGGAAGTGTACCTTAACCATAAAACGTTTACGACAAATCAACTCAATTTACCAATCTAGTGACGGACAAGATCCACGACCTTACCGCCACAATTGAGGTATAAACCCCCGGTCGGCCATCTTTGCCGCACGAGGAGTCCCACGATAGGATTCCGTGCAATTTGGTTGGCCCAGCTATCCCGCCTCTACTGATAAGTGGACTTCCAAAGTCACCCACGCAAGCACCGCTGGAGCTTTCACTTACGGCGCACAAGCGAGACCCATCTACGGTTACGTGCAGTTTTTCAGCGCACTGAGAGGTACTAATCGACCTGGTCTCAATGAACTTCAACTTGACGGACCTATCGAGGTAGGGAGTCGCGGTTGCACCGTGACCGCAGACTTGCAGCTTTTTTCCAATTGATGGGGCTTTTGTGGCCAGCGCTACGGAAGCGACAGTTTTAGTAAATTTTACTTCGGCGATCAGCTTCAGAAGGGCGATATCGTTGGACTTGGTGAACCTGTCGAAGTTGGGGTGAAAGTGAACGCTCTCGATGGCGTAGCGCTGTCCACCTTCGTTCAACGAGTCCGTGCCGGTTACCACCATCAGATCTTGCTTGGCCCTACTATGGCAAGAGGCTCATTTGAGATCAATCCAGAAACCAAAAACTCACCCTTCCACGCACTGGGCTGCTGTCACAACCCAAAACCGACCGATGATCACTGCGCCTCCAATGTACTTGTTGGTGGTCTTACGGACGGACGCGTAAAATGGAAACTTGTCAATCGTCGTGTTGGCCCCTCCGACGATCCTCGGCTCCAAGCTCGATTCTACTACGACCAACCCCGCGATCGCAATTAGACAGGTGATGAGTAAGTGCATTGTGTGAACGACAAGCGATCCGACCAGCCCGACAATAAATAGCGTTGTCGCGACAATCTAATCGTAAAACATTTTGGAGGTCAATTCCGTGTCCGATAAGGTTTTCCAAATAAACACTCATCGGCACAAAGGATGTGACAATACTTTATCTTTGTTTTGGGACTACCCCCCGAACATGGTGATTGAGACATAGTCATCAAAAGGCTCAGGTGGTATCAGTCTGCTTGCTTCATATTTGTGGAAAAACCCACGTCGGGGATATCCTAGAACGACCTACAAGAGGGATTACCCCTAGACTGCAGAAGTGGACAGCCAGATTTTTCTAATTTCTCCCTAGAGCATTGTAGGTCGATATCGGGTAAAGTCTCCCAGCCCTGATCCTAAGGGTTTCCATAAACCACTTGAGACTATAGAAATCTCTTTGGAAAGCCTAATAAGGATCTTCCAAAGTCTGTATAAAATGTCAATGAGAATCTGCCTCCTTTTGCATCTCCTTGATCTGTTCCTTTTACTCCTAGTTCCACAAGTACCATCTGGTGTCAGCAATAATTGTCCTCATTCATCACATTTTCCCCCGCATCTTTCTTCCCCACTTCCTTCACTGTACTTCTGTTCCTTTTCTTTTTAAGCCTTACTCTCTTCTCTTTTTTTTCATTTTGAAAAGTGGAAGTTTTACTTCCTTTATTTTTCTCTTGCTCCTCCTCCAGTCTTACCACTTTTTCTTTCTATATAACTTTCTACAAAAAAGTTCCACAAGCACCACAGGGTACCCTGGTCCTCTCTAACCACACCTACTCCTACGGCCTCATTTTCTTTTTCTTTTAAATAACTGCTACACGTTTTCTTCATTCTTCTTTCACGACGTCTTCACGTCTCTTCTCTTTACGGTTTACTTGAGTCATTCATAGAAAGATCTAGAAGGGACTATAAACTGTCTAGAAAATTACCGAAACGGAAAGCAAAGAAAAACATAACGCTGATAATAAAGTTCCTCTTGAATGCATTAAAAAATACTTAATAAAACAATACAAAAGCATAATTACTTGTACAGTATAACACACAAACATGATTCAGTAACGGTAGGTACATAGTAAAGCTTACTGAAGTATGCCCCACTTTGATATGTTAGGTGTGTTGCCTAACCGTGGGGGTAGGTTAAATCACCAATCGGCTTCTGACCATCGCAAACTCTGGGAAAGAATTAATGAAGAGGTCTTAATGACTGGTAAAGACCTTAAAAAGTTCTTAAAAGCTCTTTAAGGCTCTGAAAAGGTTCCAAAAACTCGCATAAATAAATAAACTTTATGCTTGTAAAGAGTAGTCAAGGCCCTTCAAGATTTGGATTTTGATTCTACTTCACTCTCAAAATCTTTTAAAGATAGAGGTTCTAAAGGCCTTTAAAGGCTAGTGACAGTTGACTGTTGGAGAGAAAACATTTGATATAACTAATGAAGCGCCTGGTAAAGTCTCACATGAGCTCTTAATCACAGCTTTTAAAAGTATGAGAGAATCTCAATGTCTCTAATAGTTTCGAAAAGATTATTAAAGGCTCTTAGAAGATTTTGGAAACTCTTGGTTACTGTTTGGTCCCAAGGCCCATGAAAACCCTGGACGCTCTCTTAAGGCAAGTTTAAGTACTCATAAGGGCTCTTTGGAAGACTTTACTAATTCTAAGACTGAAAACCTTTGGCGGCTCATTAAGATCCTTAAAAATACCACAACATTTTTATAAACCTAGAGTCCTTTGGGAGATGTTTAAGAGCTTTTAAATGATCTATTGACCCTTATAACTCGTAAAGAGCGTTAATCGTTCTTCAAGGTTTAAATAAGGCCTTTAAAAATTTTTAAAAACTCTTAAAGGATTGACTCTGACAAGGGCTTTGCAGTTTCTAAAAATTATATTTCTAGAGTCTAGGGAAACTGTAACGGCCTTTAGATGACGTAGAAACCCTTAAAACTCGCAAAAAGTGTTAGAGATTCTTCAAAATGTTGATATTAAGTACTCTTTCAGATTGTTAAAAACCCTTCAGGAGTCTTAATGACTTGTAAGGGGGCTCTAGCAACCAATACTATACTGCTGACAATTGAAAACTTCACAAAGAAAACATTTGGTGATTCATGTGATAACGAATATTGAAACTTCTTGCAAGTTATTGAAAGGTTTTCAAGATTTTTATAAGCTTTTAAAGATCCTTAAAGGGTCTCTTTTTAAAGACACTACCGATTCTAAAAGTCAGTTAATGACTATTAAAGTCTCTCGAAAGGGCAGAGAATCTTTTAGAGACTATTAAACATTTTTTGAGGCTCTTGAAACCTCTTTGGGTGCCTTTAGAGACCTACACGGATTTTAAAGGCCCTTAAATGACTTTTGGATCTTAAAGGGAAAGTGCTTTAAGATTCAGATATTAAATATTACTAAAAACGGTTAAAAAGCTCCTAAGGACTCTAAAGAACTGTCTCTGCTAGAAGCTCTAAAGACCCCTAGAAGGTTGTTGACCATGAACTACGTTTCTGGCAGTAAACTGCACTTTGAGGATTAAAACAACACATATGTTAGCTGCCTGGTATGTAATATACCATTATTTACCGTAGTTAACAGAAAATCTTTGGTGGACTGATTTCGAGTGCATGAAGGGAATGCCACCAACTGCATAGTTGGCCATATTTTGTAAGTCTGGCAACGCCGCAACAGAAAAATGACAAGCAAAATCTTTCGTTTTCCATTTTCGAAACAAAAAATGGCGGCTGTTGCTGTACAACCGACCGTAAGCGACTATTTATCCAAAAAACAGAAAGAAAGCGGCAAAGAATTGGCTACGGAATGGACCCAAATCGAAGAGCTGCACAACAAAAAGTAAGATTTAAAGTTATCGGTTACTGCTTTCTAACAGTCATTTGTTTTTAGGTTATGGCACCAGCTAACTTTGAAACTGCTGGGTTTCGTTAAAAATCCTAGCCTGCAAAAGGGGGACAACTTAATACAGCTTTACAACAACTTCATCTCCACCTTCGAGAATAAGTAAGTCGTAATTGCTTTGTCTGCAGTCGTAACAAAGGCATTTGACTTGCAGAATCAACCCATTGTCGTTAGTCGAAATCATTGCCATTGTTGTTGAGCAGTTTGTGAATAAGAAAGATGCGGTTGTCTTCTTGGAGAAGATCGAGACGAAAGTCAAATTAAACACTGATGCACTTAATCTGTGTAAAGTAAGTGTGGACGCTGTTTTTAAGTTGCTAACGCCCCATTTTCAAGGTTCTCCAAGGCCAGATTCTTTTGGAGAAGCTGAACGATTTGGATGCGACCAAGAAGATCATTTTGGATGTTGAAGAGACGCTTGATAATGCTGATGGAGTTACGGCGGTGCACGGACGTTTCTATCTCCTTGCCTCGCAGTACTATCGGTAATAACCTTTACCCCCCCCCCCTTAGGTTCAGCGCTTCAAGTCAAGAATGAGAATTTCCACATTCTCCTCAACTAAGCCTAGTGCACTTCTCGACTGACCAATATCATTTTAGCACACAAGGTGACCACGCCCAGTACTACCGCACTGCACTACGTTACCTCGGTTGCATCGAGGTCGACACATTATCCGAAGACGTGAAGCACCAGCACGCCTTCTTCCTCACGCTCGCCGCCCTTCTCGGCGAGGGCGTCTACAATCTCGGCGAGCTCTTGGCGCATCCCGTCCTCGAGTCGCTCAAGTCGACCGAAAACTCGTGGCTCGTCGATCTGCTGCACGCGTTCAACAGCGGCGACATCACTAAGTTCGAGAACATGAGGCCGAAGTGGGCGTCCGTCGCCGATCTCGCCGCCCAGGAGCTCTTCCTCAGGCAGAAGATCTCACTGCTGTGTCTCATGGAGATGACGTTCAAGCGGCCGTCGCACGATCGGCAGCTGACCTTTACGGAGATCGCGCGTGAGACTCGACTGCCACTGAACGAAATCGAACTTTTGATCATGAAGGCGCTCTCGCAAGGTCTGGTGAAGGGGGCCATTGATCAGGTAAAAATTATATCCCAATTGTGACAGTGTTGCCATACATCTAGCAATAATGCAGCATAACCCTATTTATGACAGTGTCAATAACTGGTAATATTGCAAAAATAACCAACTAATTTGGGGTAAATTTGGCTGTCCGTGTGGCAACACTGTCAAGAGAACGAGCTATGTAGTCTTAATTGCAATTTTTTAGGTTGGCGGGACTGTCAATATGACCTGGGTGCAGCCGCGCGTGTTGGATCGGTCGCAGATTTCTCACATGGTCAATCGGCTGGACGTGTGGTGCAAGCAGGTCAACAGCATGGCGAAGTTGCTAGAGGACAAGGCTTCCGAAATACTTACGTTGTAATTTTTGTAATAAAAGTGTATTGTGAAATGTTAGAACTAAACTATTGTGTGTAATTTAGCATAATTTTCTTATTTAATTGAATAGTTTATTGGAAATTCTTTTTGTCTCATTATTACTATTATTATTCTGACAACTTCTTACATTTTGGATTGAATACCTACACATTGCCAACATTTGAAAAATTTCCAAAATTGTTAAAGCAATTCAAAATGTTTTTCTCCTCTCTGTAGAAATTAAATCAATTACATTTAGCTTTGACCTTGAACTTCTAAATACTCTCAGAGCGACAATCTTCGTAACGAAGCAAGCAATTGAAAATGTTCTTTGATATCGGGTCTTCATCTACAGAGTGATCACTAAAACTGGTATCACAACAAGGAGGTGTACATTTACCTCGTTAAAATTTCCTGACCAAAGTAGGCATGAAAATGAAGATTTCAGGACGATTTTGGGTAAATGTATATGCGGGCAGATTTCATTTAGTTTAGCATTTTTTTGATACTGCAGATAAAACAATTTTATCAGGTGAACAGAAAACGCGATGTTACGTTCTATCATAGTATAATAGTTCTGTACTAGTCGCGGTTTTGAATTCTTAATGCATCGTTTTTGAAAGAAGATTTGTATTAGGAAAACATCATACGTGGAAAAGTGTTTTGCCATGAATTTTATTATGGTGTATCCATAACCTAGGTACTTCCTTGCAACCAAATTTATATTTAGGAGAACGTATCAGTGAACTGGTGTATGTCACTTCCCCAATGTTGGGTACTTTTGAAACATTCCTCCTTATCGTGTATCAGGAAAGCAGAACTCATGCGAACGGTGACATCGGTATGCCTACTCGCATATCCGTGTTCATCCCGCGACGCTTCTTTACAGATCCTGATGTATCTGTACATTAAACATGTGTATTCCAATTTCCAAATAGACATTACCCTTCCTTACGTTTCTTCATTCTGGACCGAAAAAAATGCATATCAGGAGAACACTAAACGTTCGAAACTGAAGCGTTTTCGAAAGAGTAAATGGGTAGCTACGAAAAATGGGGAGGGAAGATTATAAAAACAAAGGAAAAATAATAGTGAGAGGGTGATGAGAGCGAGTACAGTGACGAAAGGCGTAGGATGGGGAAAGGAATCTTTATACAGATGCGCTACTTTTAAAATTAGCGCGCAAACGCAAACATGGTGCCATCTCGTGGCGGACGGCCGCGCTAGTTTTGACAGTCCCAGTGCTCTTATAACCAAAAACTAATTAAATAAATAAATTCGTGCGATTATTTATAAAGTGAAAAAGTGATTATTTCGCAATTGTGCCCATCAAAGTGAAGTGTTTACGTTTTAATTCAGTAAGTATTCGCATTCGCAACGCGTAACGCACATTTCTCTCCCAAAAGGAAATTGTAGTGGGTGTTTGATTCCCCATTGAAAACACAGGAGTTATTTTTAATCCTCGTTTTTTCGACAAGTTGCCTAATGTGCTTCCTATTTTTAAAATTACAAAAAGGCGGTAATGAAAATTGAGATTTGTGCCAAACGCTTTTATGTAATTCCGGGCTGTTGTGGGAAATATTATTTATAAACCCCCCATTCTATTTGTAGCCCCCAACAGAAGTAAAAGGGGGTACTTAATTATCTTCGCTTGTCTCCCAGCATCTTTCTCAATATTGTAATTGGACCTACTTAAAGTGTGAGTCATAACTCTCTGTGACCTTATAATAATACAATTTTTTTTCCTGCATTATGCTCTCTGAATAATTAAAATGCTAATAAAGTTTTTTATCTCCCATAAAAAGTCTGTGTTTAATTTAGCACATACAGGGTGCTCCAAGGGGGATAACCGGTCATTCATTCTCATAATTTGCCACACTTTCACTCCTTCAATTCTCATAGCAAGTTTGCCATTGTCTTTTGGTATTATGTGATGTGAGTGGGCCACAGGAAGTGTGCTCCAATTTGTACCGCATACAGGGTGTTTAAATCCAACACACAAGGTAAGTTGATAATTGTTGCGCATGCCGATATTTGTATGGTTATTGCAGCTAACTTCACTATTTGAAAGAAAAAAAAACCTCTTCATTTTTTACATCCTCCGGGTAGACCGAGAAATCTTTCTCTCAGTTACTCTAAATATTGTGATGTAAAATACCTCCTCGTGTACAAAAGTTATAAAGGTTTAAGTGAAAACCAGAACACTTGTCTTGAGTAAGTATAGAAAAGAACCCTTTCGTGGTTCATGTTTTCTGGGAAGCGAGAGAAAATTTACAAACTCTTTCTGATAAAACCTTCATCTTATATTCCCCTGACACAAAAGTTGAAAACATTTCAGGAAAAATAAGTTCTTTGTCCTGGTAGACATGAGCAACAGAAACATTGCGTTTCATATTATGTTCTCCTGACACAAAATGATGATTTTCCTGCTGGCCAGAAAAATGTATAACAGTTTTGTTATAAAAACCCTGTCTATTATCAACAGAAACACCTCCTCACTATTATATTCTCCTCGATTCTCCTGATTTATTTATTTATTGCCCTACAGGCTTATCGCCCAATTACAGGACAAAGTAACAATAGTAAAGTAAAGTAGTGTACAGTGTGCAAGCATTGTAAATGTTTAAGTGAAATAAGGTGTTTTGTCTCCAAAAGATTTCCATATCTATTATGTTATCCCGCTAACAAAAAAAATATAAGCCTCCTCAACGATCATGCTTTCCTCGTCCAAACTTGAAGTGAAGGTAAGTTATCTTGTGCTGAGAAAAGAACCTCCTTGTCGATTATGTAGTGGTAACCGGATAAAATTGCAAACATTTTTCTGATAAAAACTCCTTGAATTAGGAGCAGAAACACCTCCTCACTCTTTATACTCTCCTGATACGATAGTAGAACAAGATGAAGTAATAGGAACAACATCTCACACATTCTATTCCCCCGATACCAAAGTCTTAAAAAATTAGACAAAAATCTCCCCGTCGATTGTGGTCTTGGTAGGCCGAAAAAAACAAATTTTTTTTTTTTCGTAGAAGCCGCATATGAGGAACAAAACACGTCCTTGCATATTACGTTCTCCTGATACAAAGGTTATCTACGTAAACGAAAATAGAGATTGTTTTTGATCATAGAACATACCTCTTCAGCGATCATGTTTTCCTAGTAGAAATTTGGGAGAAGACTAATACCTTTTCGCCTGATTCTCCTGATGCAGACTTGCAAGAGAAATGAAAGATTTAATGCATCTACCTGATGTACCTAAGAAAGAAAGCTCTTCTTTGTTTATATCCTCCTGATACCCAGCGAAGAAATAAGGTTGTCGTATTCGAGGGGTAAGCCACTTGAAATTTTGTGTATACTACAGTTCTAAAAAATTCTAGAAAATTCTAAGCCATTCTAGAAAATTCAAGTAAAGTTCTAAACAATTTTTTCAGAATTCTAAAGAGATTCTAAAATGTGTAGAAATTCTAAACATTTTTAGAAAATTCTCAAAATGGTATAAATAACAATTTTGTGTGCATGTGCGTTCGGAAACAATTGTACAAATATTTTAAAATGTTTAGAAATCCAAAAATTCTGAACAATTCTAGAAAAATTCTAAAAAGATTCTAGAACATTTTCAAAATGGTATAAAATAATAATTGTGTGCATGTGCGTTGGTAAAAAAATTCTAGAGAAGTTCTAGAACGTTTTAAAAGGCCGTGTCTGCCAATAAATATTGGATCGTTTTGCTGTTCTGCGCTCCTAATAGAATAACTGGCAATAAAAGGATTTATATCAGGAGAACATAATTCGTCAATGTTATACTTGCTGGATGTGTCAAAGGGAAGTTGAATCATACAAAATGGTGACCGTCTTGATGAATGTTAAATGTTGTTCTATTATCATGATGGAGTTCAATTTTACGGCTACCTTTTGTGATTCTGACACATTTTGAATCAAAAGAGCGTAATACAAGAAGGAATTCTGCATTTCTGTAATCCTGATACAATTTTTGAGAGAAATGGTTATCAATAAAATAAGTCTCTTTACTGTTTTGCGATTATGTTATAATGGTTTTTAAGAGATTTATAATGGGGGAGGAAGGGGGCGGGGGGTCAAGGGCCTTCTCTTTCTCATAATTATGTTGCTCTCGCATTGCCAGTATTATTTTTTTTTTAATTGATTTGCCTTTATTTTTGGGTGGGCGGGATTTCAGCCTTGGCTATATCGCGTTGGTGTTCTGTGATTTTATCGGATGTAAATAAAGTATTGGAACATTCCTCTGGATTGTTTTCCTGGTAGCCAGAGAAAATATATAATATTAGGATTAGGAGTAAAAAAACCCTCTCCTTCAGGATACTCTTCTGATACAAAAGTTTACACGAAAATAAAATACTGGCTCTTGAGTTGGGAAAAATACCTCCCCATGTATTATGTTCTAATGTGCCCGCGTGTTTGTGTAATCCTGATACAACAATTTTTGAGAGGGAATTTGTATTAGGAGAGCATCATACGCTACGAGGTGTAGGATTCTTAATAAATTTCAGTTTTCTGTAGTTACTCTATATATTAGGATCAGAAATACCTCCTGTACTGGCCGAAATCCTGAAGTCCTCCGCGCCTGCGGATGAGTGGCGGAGATGATAATATCATCCAGGTAGGCTAAATGGCGATGCCGGTGAGTTGATTTCGGGAACGATCGATGAGTCGTTGGAAGGTCGTAGAGTCTGTCTAGGAGAGCGTTGTATAAGGAACATGGTGAGACCTCGGAGGGCGTGTCTATGTTGGCCATGGTCTATGTCCATGGTGTTTGTTTGTTGAGTTGTCTTCAAGAGTTCTTTCAGTACGTTTTCCGTGAGTTTGATTGTAGGGGCGTTTCCCTCTGCTTGGTGTGGCGGCTTAGTGGCGTTTTGATTTTTTTAGCCCCACGTTGGGCGCCACTAGTGGAGTCATCACTTTGTCTTCGCCCTCCTTTTCGTCAACGAAGTACATCTTGTTTTCGTTGCTGGTTCTCTCGCGACATATTTGTTGTCTATGTGTTTTGTTATTTTGCTTAACAGCTCTTTTTTCTTGCAGGTTGCTTACATTCCCAGGAACGATGGAAATAATTGACGTACCCCCAAAAAGGATAAAAAATAAATCGTCGATATTAATAATAAGAAGGTGATGTAGAAGTATTACTTTCGCCATAAATACGTAATAGTTAATACATGTTCAATTAAACGTGTAGATGTAGACTGATATTAAACGTTAAGGCCTAAATTATATAATCTATTCTAACTATCTACCACTTTAAATCTACTCGTCCAATAAGACAAATAATTTGATCATTTATATTTTTCAACTAAAGCAATATGTCTACGCTTGTTGAATGAGGTCTACGATGATGGCTTGTTACGAGGATAAGAAGAAATTTTATTGTCGAGAGTGGGCTTTTCAGAAGCTGTCGCATTGCTTGGACCAGCGGCCGGTTTCGAAGACGTGCGGCGCGTTACTGTTGGGGGGGCCGGGCTGCGGCAAGACGACGTTTTGTTCGGAAATATGTTGGCCATCTCAGGGACCATCGGGACGTCAGCAAAGAGCTCTCAACAGACGTCTTCTATGCTATCACTTTCTGGCGGGCCAGAACGAGAAAAGCCTTTCGCTGAGCGAATTTGTGCGCTCGCTCGTCACCCAAATACTGAACCATTCGACGGAAAGCCAGCGCGAAAGGAGCATAAGGCGGAAGCTGGCGAATGACGCGAAGTGCACTGAAGGTGCCTCGAAGGCAACAAACATATCACAGGATCCTTCCAATTTGTACGGTAACCTTTATACAGATTCATTATCGCCAACTTTAGATACTAAAAAGGTCTCCGAAGCCACGCCTCCGATTCCTAATCTTCCGGTCAACCCGAGAACGCTGATCGCCGACGCCTACCTCGAAAAACTCAAGTCTGATCCCGAAATACAATTCGCCTTACGTGCAAAAAACATAGAATTAAATCCCGACGACTGTCTGAAACGAGCCTTGCTATTTCCACTACTCGAAATCGATCCTCCCAAAACGTCCCTTTTTATACTGGTCGACTCGATCGACGAACACTCTTTTATATACTCGAACTCGACGTTGACCAAATCGAAGCCGCGCGAACGCTCGTCGCAGTCGCGGACGATCGCCGAATTGCTCGCGAACCACCACCACCTCTTCCCGCAGTGGCTGCTGCTGGTGTGCACCGCCAGGAAACAATCGAAGAGCATCGCGAAGATGTTTACCGGCTTCCGAAAGCTTAGCTTGGACGATTTGAGGAAATCTCAGGTGAGCCAGAATCCGCTCTTGCTCTGTCCTCCACATCATTTCCAATCTGAAAGTTTCACGAGGATCCACTTACCACTCTGTCTTCCTTTTACTCCTGCTTCTCAGATCTTACTTCCTCCACCTCCATTGTTAATTTGTGGATTATTTTATATTTCAACATCTACCTCACTCTTGTTAACAGGTGGTGCGCGACGTTCAGCAGTACATCCTGGCCCGATTGGACCAGGAGAACAGTTTGCGCCAGCACATCAGCCGCGACACCGCCGAGATGCTAAACCAGCTGCACATCAAGAGCAACGGTTGCTTTCTCTACCTCGAAAAGGTGCTGGACGGCGTATCGGACAATTTCATTGTGCTGCGTGAGGTGCGCGAGATTCCCGGCACTTTGAACGGCCTGTACCTGTGGCTAAGCCAGCGGCTTTTCAATCGAAGACAGTTCGCGAAAGTGCAGCCGCTGCTTAACGTGATACTCGCCGCGAAGTGCGCCCTAAACGAAGCGCTCCTCTTTGACATAATGAAAGTGTACAACTCGAAGATGACCTTGGAGGATTTCAAAAAACGATTTCATCTGCTAAAGCGGATTCTGGTAATCTCGAAGACCGGCACCATTAAGCTATTTCATCATTCCTTCGCCGAGTGGCTGCTCGACATTAAGCACTGCACCCAGAAGTATCTCTGCAACATCTTCCACGGCCACTGCACTCTCGCGATGTACTACTCGCTGCAGGCGAAATACTTGAGCAATCAGGAAATCTACGATTACGCCTTCCACCTGTCCAGAATGGAGCAGTATCTGTCGCAGGTGCCCAATCAGAAGTGCACGAATTTGGTTTACAAGCTAAACAAAGACCGGCCGAACGTCTACGGCGAAAACTCGCTGGAGAAGACCACGTCGGAGGTCTACGCGGACCTGAAGGCGTTGCAGAATGTCACCAAGTACGAAAACACCTACGACAATTGCGGCGGGGGAGAGGCGCTTGACACAAGCTTCATCGACACCGAAGGCAGCCCCCATCACAACCTAGAAACGAATGATCTGAACGCCAAAGACTTTGACAAATACGAAAACATACCGCTGGCGAGCCCGTGCTCGGAGAGCAGGCCGAAGTCGCCGATCTACGGCGTCATCAACAAGTCGAGGACGAAAAACGAGAAGGCGAAGAATTCGGCGAACGTCGTCATGAACAAGGACTTTACCGGTTTCTCGATACAAAAATTGGACGCGCCGAACGATCTGAACGGAACGAGCGCGAAGAGCGAGGAGCCGAGCAAAAACCCGCTCGACGTGCACACGCTGATCGTGCTTTGGTTGATAACGAACGGGGCGAACGTCGAGGAGTGCCTGCTTGAGGGTAACGAAATGGCGGGCGTCAATTTTGGGGCGTTCCTGCCTACGGATCAGAAGGTGTTAAAGTTGCTGTTGGAGGCGGGCGCGGTCGAGCAGGCCGATCCAGAGGACGGCGACTATGAGAGTCAGGTACTTATGACGCTTACCCTCTACCGCTCAATTCCATTATTCATTAAAAGATGCTTATCCTTATTCATTAATTTCCGAAATTTTAGATACCGTACCGTGGGTGCTTGGAATTTTTTATCTTCGCCAAGCACACTGAATTATGTATTTCAAAATTCCCTCACTGATAATAACTCTCTCAGTTACTTCATTAAACACTAAAGTACGATCCGTTAAAAGATGCATATCCTCTGCCAAAAGTATCTGAAGTTTTAGATTCTTATGAATTCAAACACGTGCTGTTGGGACAGGCTAATGATGACGTTTTCAGCTGTCGTTGGTGACATCGTCTACAGAACCTAGCCCGGAACCGCTTTTCGATCTCCACGACCTGCACGGACAGGCGGCGTTACACGTCGCGGCTCGATTGGGTCAAGCTCAGGTGGTGAAAGTGCTGCTACAGGCTGGCGCGGATGTCGATCAGGCGGACGGCGACGGATGGACGCCTCTTCGCGCCGCCGCCTGGGGCGGTCACACTGAAGTCGTCGAGCTACTCGTTAAACACGGCTGTGCGCTCGACAGCGTCGACGCGGAGAATCGCACCGCCTTGAGGGCGGCGGCGTGGTCCGGCCACGAAGAGATCGTTAAAATTTTGCTCGAGAACGGCGCCAACGTTAATTTAACCGATCACGAAGGCCGCACCGCCCTTATTGCCGCGGCCTATATGGGTCACGCCGAAATTGTGGAGCACTTACTGAATCACGGGGCGGATATTAACCATGCGGACGCCGATGGCCGCACCGCAATTTCGGTTGCGGCCCTGTGCGCGCCTCGGTCACCTGGAGCGAATGTTGTGGTCACTTTGTTGGAGCGAGGCGCCACTGTCGACCACCGAGACAAAGAGGGAATGACACCGTTACTTGTTGCTTCTTTTGAAGGACATAAGTAAGCTAGTTGGCACATTCGGATTGTTCTCTCAAACCAAATCTTTAACTTTTAGGGAAGTGTGCGAGCTTTTATTGGAAAGCGAAGCCGACGTTGACCACTGTGATAATGGCGGACGCAGTCCGCTTTGGGCCGCGGCGAGTATGGGTCACGCGCCCGTCGTCGCGCTTCTGTTATTTTGGGGCTGTTGCATAGACTCGATGGACTCTGAAGGGCGAACCGTACTGTCGGTCGCTGCGGCTCAAGGTTGCGTCGAGGTCGTAAAGCAGCTGCTGGACCGCGGTCTGGACGAACAACACCGAGACAATTCCGGTTGGACTCCGTTGCACTACGCCGCGTTCGAAGGTACATGGGAAAGTAGCTCTACACTATCCCCTTCTTGTTTTTGATGTAGGTCACCAAGATGTTTGCGAGGCTCTGTTGGAGGCCGGTGCGCGGATCGATGAGGTCGATAACGAGGGTAAAGCCGCTTTGGTTTTGGCTTCGCAAGGGGGGCATACGACTCTGGTTAGCTTATTCCTGGATAAATACAACGCGCCGTGCGATCAGAGACCGCACGACGGTAAAACTGCGCTACGGTGAGTTTCTCCTGGTAGGTTTGGCGCCTTTTTAATTTCTCACCGCAGGTTAGCAGCGTTGGAGGCGCACTACGACATTGTACAAATTTTAATCTCACACGGCGCCGACTTGGACTCGAAGGATGCAGATGGACGCAGCACCCTCTATGTCTTAGCGTTAGACAATCGGTTAGTCATGGGCAAATTTTTCATTCAACAAGGCGCGGATGTCGAAACCAGAGATCTAGAGGTTAGCGATTTGTGTAATTGCTTCATTTACCTTGCGTGTTTAGGGTCGCACTCCGCTGCACGTCTCGGCGTGGCAGGGCCACACGGAGATGGTAGCCCTCTTGCTAACGTGCGGGCATGCGCAAGTCGACGCTGTCGATTTAGAAAATCGCACCGCGCTGCATTCGGCCAGTTGGCAGGGTCACCACGAGATCGTCAAGTTGCTCCTGGAAAACGGCGCGATTCCGGACCACACCTGCAATCAGGGCGCGACAGCTTTGGGAATCGCGGCGCAGGAAGGTCACGAGCTGTGCGTCGTCGCTCTTCTGGAGCACGGGGCCGATCCTAACCACTCGGACGCGTGCGGGCGGAACGCGCTTAGAGTCGCTGCCAAATCGGGGCATAGGGGCGTGGTCCGACTGCTAGAGGAGCATAACATGAGGTCCCACAAAATGGCGCACACAAGCAGCAGCGCCAACTCGATCACATCTGGTAAGATTCGAGGTGCAAATTTCCTTCATTGAAGTGTTACGGAAGTAGGTTCAACCGCCGAGACGAAGGCGTGCAGCGCCGTTCTCTACCCGGGGCCCGGTGCCTCCGACTGGTCCGACCATCAACGACGATCCATGGTCTCTTTAGGCAACCACAGCTCCAACTCGAAATCCAGCTCAAACCTCACCGGCTCTAGTCATTCCAGCAAACACGGCGATAGACCACGGGAGACTGTCCCCAATCCGCAGGTTCGTTCTCGAGATCGATCGTCCAAGTCTTCAGAATAATTTGTTCTGTTTAGCCTCTCTCGTTCACCCAACAGCTTCAGCAGTGCACGCGGGGTGGAAAAACGCGACCGCTCAGTAAACTACTATCCCCGTTACAGAGCGAGCCTCAAAGTCCCATATACGCGTCGCCGCCTCTAAGTCCGGTACATGATCCGCCGAACGTCTTCGGTAAGTTAATTCCAGAGTTGATTTGTAGTGTCAGAAATAGATAGTGAGACGACGACAGTCTTGAGAATCGACTTAAGATACGGAGATGAGCTGAGCCGGAGCAGCCTGCTATTGGAGAAACATGGCGATGGTACCAAAGTTTCATTTTTAAACGCATGCGCAAACCTTTGAGATGATGGCGTCGCGGCGCCGAGCTGTGTGCAGCGCAAGTGAGAATCGACCGTGATTCGGTAAAAGATGCATATCCTCTTTCGTATATATCCGAAATGTTAGATACGGATTTTAGGGAGATTGGTCTTTTCTTGTAGTGTTTAGAAAAACAACATTCATAGAGAGTTTTAGTTGTCACCCTATCTATTTCTAACCCGAATTTGCATATTTCACCTATCGGTATTTTACCCTCCCAGTTATAGGTGCGATGAACATCTACCAGCCGGTCTTGAGGCACAACAACTACTTCGCGAACATGTCGGACACGCACTTCGCCCGCGACACCCACATGAGGATAATTTTGGGCAATTCCGGTAGCTCGAGCAGTAGTAAAACGGACAAGAAAACCGAAAATAGCAATATCTCCAGCGGGTAAGTGACCCGAACACTGCGCGTGTTATCGACTTATTCGCTCGAACTTAGTAACTCGAAACCTAAGCGCAACGGTATCGTGACGAATCCTGCGCTGCGATTGGTCGCGAACGTCAAGAACGGCCTCGATACGGCGGCGGCAAACTTCCGAAAGTCGACGTCTAGCTCTAATCCTAGCACGAAGACGAACAGTTTTCATTGGAGAAAGGAGACCCCGTTGTAAAGTATATTGAGAGCGAGTACCTAGTCAATATTATGGTAAGCCATTTTTCGATCGACCTCTGCCCCTAACTTTTATTTAAATTAAAAAAATTTTTTTAATTGAAACTAATAGCGCACTGTGTTACGTTTTCAGGTTAATTTCGTACTACCCAGATGATGCTGTAACCTCTTTACCCCTAGTCTTGTAAAAATCAAAGATTAATATTAGAGTTTTGTGTTAGTTTTTAAGTAGCGATTACGGCCTATTTTACAAACATTACGTTTTATTACGTTTGTGATAGACGCTTTCTGTAGATTACGAGAATCATTTCTATTTTTTTATTTAAATATATACACGTCTATAAATGAGCGATTAAATCGTCACCCCGACTTGGAGGAAGCTCACAATATGCCTTGCATTATTATATTTTTTTATTTTGGATTTATCGTTTGTTTAATAGCTCATTTATGAATAAATCAAGCCGTATATGTTTATAACGTGTATCTTATAATGTAATATGAAAATAATTACGGTTGTAGGGCAAATCTTTTGCTTTAAGTAAATGTTGCCATTTTGTGTTTCGCGATTATTTATTTTGTGTGTGATCTCATATGATATGTGTATTATTTGTATATTTTTTATATTACTTTTTTGTGAAGCTTTGATACTAGCGTATTATTTACAATATTAAATTATGTAGCTTAGGTTCTCAGTGATGATACCGGTTCGCAATATGCGTTAAACTTTTTGTTCTACGACCGACCGACCGTGGGTAAATTTTTTTTTTTTTTTCGATTTTACTTGTGTAACGTCTTTGTTATTCATTGTAATAAATGTTTAATTTTTATACAGATTTAAAATTTGTGCACTGTATATTATGAAAACAGTATTAATAAAAGTTTTAAAAACACATTGGTCAAGCGGAAGCATTTTCCAAAATGGCCGCATGCATCGTTGTCAGATTTAACAGAACTTCTTACATGTAGAATCCAAAACGACCAGAATATTCAAGATTGGTCCTTAAAGTGAACACACATTTGGAATTCTCTCATAGTAATGTACTGAATTAGCTCAAGTACTTCATGGGCCGAAAGAAAGATGGCAAAATGCGTTTATGTATCCATTTCCGGAAAGTGAACGTAGTCACTATTAAAGATGCCTATCCGTTACCGTTCATAATGGAGATTGTGGACCGCCTCCGTCCAGTCCGCTACATTTCAAGCATTGACCTTAAACAAAGGTATTGGCAGATACCGCTGACCAAAGACAGTCGACTATCCACTGTTTCACACCACCCTATACTCCACAAGCCAATCCCGTAGAACGTGCCAACTAAACTTTTAAAAAAACTCAAGAAAAACGTTTTGAATTTTTAAAACAAAGATTCAGTTTTGCAGGGAACTGCGGCTTGTATTTTAGGCACTCTACCGCCAGAGACAGCATTTAATGAAATTTTTTATATTGTAAGTATAGGGTATTTTTTTTTGTTTTTAAACAATTTTATTTGCAATATGTTAATGTTGTAACCTTTTGTTAAATTCATAAATTAAACAGTTTTTACAGGAAAAAAAAACAAGATTATACCGGACTTTCTCCTGCGTTTTTAAATTTTACCTGTGAACTTGACTTCGGAACACTTTACAACAACTTCCGAGCCCGATCCGCCAAACCGTTGCTACCGCACCATGACCAGGGGCGAGACCGTACGCGCTTAGTGGCGCTCGAGTCTGCCCCTCCATCTCGCCGAGTGTTACCGGTTATTGCCGCTACTTTCGGTCGCTCACAGGATGTGTTTGTTATAGTAACTTGTAAATTTATTTCGTTTTCATGCCATTTGTGCGAAGTTCGTCGCATAATCACAGATGCTTCTGTTAAAGGCAATGACAATATTCATTGATTTAAAGGTATAATTCAGGTAACGTATCAACTTCCTTATTTATAACTTATGAACATATTTCATAGCCATACTCCATAGCCTTTGGAAAAGTACTTATAAATGCATGCAAAATGCGCTACTTACTCGCCTTAGGGCGAAAACCTGTTTACTTGTTTAATACATTAACATTAGCGGTCATTTTCGGAATTTTTTATATATTAATCATCAGCAGTAAACTATCTCTCTCTCATCAAATTTAATTTGATATGGGGAAACGGGATAGATTGACCAGACTACAGTTATTTCTGGCTTTTAATGGAAACATAAAATACTCTAATATCAAACAATCATTCTGAAGTCAAACGTTGACAGTGACGAACTGCATCTTTCAATTTGTAAACGAGATCCTGCAACTCCTGGCCATTACAAGTGAAGTACACTCGCTCAATCCCTTTACTTCCCGAATCTTCATCAAACTTACTCGTTACCAGAGCTATCCGAAAGATGGGTCCCTCGGAATGATCCAAATTACTCGCCTAAAAAGCAAGTATCGCGTGGCAGGCACTTAACAACAACTCCACCTCGTACCTTGACTATGTAATCGATTTTCCACTCGGCATCGACAATGTGCGGCGGATGACTGCCAATTTTACCCAAGGCGACCTGCAAATCTCTCTTGTTGCGATCGTACAGTTCGGAGAATACCGCCGCTCGGCCGGTGCTAAAGTTACAATCGATCAAAAACGACCTCACCTCCTCTTTGGTCAGATCGTGACGACCGAATTCTGCGCTGATCGTCATCAAAATCGCGTGAGCCTCTTTGATTAGATCGGGTTTCGAGTTGTAAAGGACGCTCAGATCTAGAACAAGAAGGCAATCGCTGCACAGCATCCGAAAAGGAGGTCTTACTCTCTGGTTTTCCGGTTAATGTGGAGAAGTTGTGTTCGAGTAGCTGTTTGAAGAGATCGTCTTTTATGGGGGAAGTTCCGATAAATTTTACGCGATTTTTTAATTCTTCGGTTATATTCATTTTTATTTCTAACCTAAAAACCATTCAAATTCAGTGACAGTCAGCTGATCGCAAACTTTGCTGTTTTCTTTTAAGGTTATTTGAACTATTCCAGTGGCGTGGCGTTGATCTTTCAAAATTACATGCCATTTTGATCACAATAATCTCGAATAGAAATAATGTAATTGTTATATAGGGCGAATTCATGTTAACAACAAAATATGTGGAAATCAATTAATCGCAACTCAGATAGATTCTAAACCGAAGAGTTTCTGTTAGCCGGATCTCGCCCTCATGATAGGTAACTCTTCGCTTGTCCGGGGTATCCGAGCCTACAGTTGAGATTTGAGAACAGTCCCGGGATTAGGTGTCGTAACAAATGTGGTTACCCTTATTTACCACCCCCGTGACTGTCTCTTCATGGCGAAAAGTGTTAGTTTACAAACAAGTTCATACACACATCAAACTTAAGAAAAAAAATTCATAAGGCACGAAGTGCAAAAAGAGAAGTATACTGATGGATACTCGTACATAACGCCTAAAATGTTCGGCGTTCCTGATGCCCTTCTTAAAAATCGTTGTATAAATGCATGTTCTCCGGACATAGATTACCATTTTTCCATTGTTTCGATTTTGAAATTCTGTCAATGTTCTGCAAATTCTAGGTTCCTCAAACTCTTCGGGTGCATTGACATTTGACTTAAATCTTCACATTCAGTTGCTACTCGTATCACAAACTTGAAATTGAAAACTTGGTGCTCGGCTCCTCGGGCGGGTATCTGGCCCCTCGTTCGGAGTATGCTATGGTTGCAAGAAGTGTCTTCCAAGAGTCAATATAACAATAGAAATATATCTTTATTACGATATAAACAAAAAAAAAGATGTAAACAGAAGAAGGGTAGAAAGAAAGATTAATAACACACAGCTTTTTCCTCGCCTTAACAAACAATTATAGACTGTTAAGCTGTTTTAATTATAATTACCTACATTACTTTGTTGCCTATCACATTTGACACAATTATACTATGGGATTTTTACTATCGACGCTCTGTTCCAGACTGTTTTCTACAGAACTATTATCTCTACTTTGTAACTGCTGCTTCCACATGGCGGCGTAGACGCCTTCTTGTCCCACCAAATTCAAGTGCCTAAAAAAAGTTGAAAGAGAAATGCACAGTGGGAGGTATACGTACGTTCCCCTCTCCACAATTTCGCCTTCTTTTAACACGAGAATTTCGTCGGCGTGGATTATGGTGGACAGACGATGTGCCACTATGATGGTGGTGCGATTCGTACACACCTCGCTTAAGGCTCCCTAAATGTGCGCGGTTAATATATGTTCGTGACAGTCCTTCGTCGTACCTGTATGTTACGTTCAGTCTGTGTATCTAAAGCGCTCGTCGCCTCGTCTAAGAGGACAATGATGGGCGCCTTAAGGAGGGTCCGCGCGATGGCCACCCTCTGCTTTTCGCCCCCGCTCAGTCGTAGCCCTCGCTCGCCCACCTCGGTGTCATAGCCGGATGGGAAGGTTTGGATTCTGTCATGAATATCTGCACCACGTGCCGCCTGCACAACCTCCGTGTCGGAGGCGCCGATTCGCCCATAGCTTATATTATACCTGGAACACATCGTTTTCAGCCATCGGGGGGTGGGGTGGGGGCGTACTTAATAGTGTTATTAAACAGAACAGTATCTTGAGGTACAACACCGATGGCCCTTCGGAGCGACTCCTGCGTTACAGTTTTAACATTCTGATCGTCGACTATAATCGATCCGGTGTCCACGTCGTAAAATCTAAATAAAAGTCTTATTATCGTACTTTTCCCGCTTCCCGAAGGCCCCACCTTAAAGCCGAACAAAATTAAAACAATCCCAAAGTCGCGAGTATACCCACCAGCGCCACGGTTTTCCCAGGCGGCACGGAAAAGGTTATGTTTTTCAAAATTACACGCTCGGGAAGATACCCGAAGCTGACGTTGCGAAATTCGACGCCGCCGCGCTTCATGGCTATGGGGAGGGCGCCGGGCGCGTCGATCACCTCCTGCTCCTCGCGAAGCAGGTCGAACATGTTCTCCATGTCGACGAAATTCTTTTGGATCGCCCTGAAAAGGACTCTCGGAATTAGCACACGAAGGGATAATACACTAATTTAAGAAACGACGGACGTATTTCCGCTATTTTCCGGTGTTCGTTCGGCGGCCTCCATGGATTGGCTGGATCTGTCACAGTGCGTCGGGGAAGGGGTGGATGAGTTGCTGAATCACGAAGTCGTATTTCCTGGTTTAAAATGTGTGCTGTTTTTTTTGGAGTCACTCTTTGAAAGAAATTGTGAGAAAAGGTTAGTTTTACCACCTTAGTCAAAAGACGTCCTAATACATTAGAAAGAAAAAAGTCTATTATATTCTCCTTATCATCTAGGAAACTGCTCTCCTGATTCGCTAGCTGAAAGAGGATTGAAGCAAGACATTAAGAAGACCTCTTCGCGTATGCGGTTGCCCTAAACAAAACATGACATGAAAAAATGACTGCGCATGCGCAGAAATACTTCATTCGAAAATTAGTTCAATACTCCTATTGTACTAACCGGTAGTAAGTGCCGAACCAGTTCAGCGGAACGTAAAGCTGTATGATGTAGCTCGAGAACAGCACATAATCGCCGACGGTTAGGCTGTGATCGTCGACGACCAGGTGAACGCAAAGCAAGCTACCGGCGAGGAGGCCGCCGCAAATTATGATATTCTGTAGAGTGTTTAGGATGTTCAACGTAATGGCGGCCTTAAACTCTTCCTCCTGAAACGCAAGTCAATGACGAGGCGAGTTCGACCTGTCGCGTTGCAAACCTGGTACTTGAGGACGACGTCGCGGAAAGCGTCCACCTCGTACTGTTCCGCGCCGTAGTACTTCACCGTCTCGAAATTGAGCAGCGAGTCGACGCTACGCGCTCGCGTGGCGTTGTCGGCGAGATTCATGCGTCTTTGGAACTTGGTGCGCCACTCCGTTACGGCAATTGTAACAACTGCAAGTC